CTAAAGCCCCATCATAAAACAGTGAATGTTAGATCGTTTCTAATATTTTAACAAATCTGACCAAGTCTAAAAATTAGGTCAACAATCAGCGGACAGGACAATTATTTGAACTCCTGTTTTCAGTGATGATTAAAAGGAGAAGTAGGGAAAACCCTGAACGGGTTCTTATGACTTTTACCAGAACTTTATTATTAAGGCCAAAACTAACAGCAGCAAAACATTTAAAGTTCAAGAAATCAATCAAATCAAATAATTCTATATTCCATATCTGAAAAACGAAAGAGGAGGTGTTCATACCTTTTATTTTAATTTTCTGGAACCTTTTTTACTTCTGTTTATACATTTCTATTTATATACTACATCTATATTAGTATTTGTACTAGATTATGTACTACATATCAATAGACATAATCTGGAATTATTTCAAAATAACATTTTGAGTGATATAAATACCCAGATCCTCTAATAGTGTTTCACACATTTAGGTATTTTGCATTTATCCCTAATTTATATTTAGTAAGAAATTGCTTTTTTTATACCTCCTTTTCAATATTTATGTTTAATCTGTGCTTAATCTCCATATCTGTTCCACAATTAAATATGCACATACTTTCCATTGTTAGTGTGTCTTTTTATAAATATCTTTAGCTAAAGAGCGAGTCATTTTAAATGAAATGTTTGTAGCAGCAGCAACACTTTTAATCAATCTCAGATTGAACACGATGCTTTCTTCTCTTTTAAACTGAAACAGGAAACTGAATGCCACAAAGACCTTAGTCCAAAACAGAATGCAGTTAGAGATAAACAAGCTCATGCAAACACGATCAAAATACCATAGCGTTAGAGTTTTGAAGATCTTTATTAATCTAAACCATGAGTTTATTTAGAAAAATACTCCAATAATTTTGCTTCCTATATGTAAAAAATTACGCAAACCACAATCTGTTGTTACTATATGTGCACCTGTTCAATATTTATAAAAATATGAATATTTTACTTGAATGTATAAATATTCATTCTACCCATCAAGGCTTTTAAGGTGTACCCTAGAATTATACGAGAATAGTCCCGCTGTTACCTTAATGTTCTCTGGTTTGCACACGGCCCTTATTCAGTGAATATCTTTAATCGATCAGTTTAGGAAACAAGATGTTCCTCTTTAAAAATGATACCATGTTTTTGCCTGACCAAAGTAAACAGGGTTGTTATGCACCTAATGAGCTGCTATCCTTAAATAAATAAAAAAATCCTAAAATATATTTGCAAGAAATCCACATTTTAAATGTTTTTTTATTTTTTAACTCTGCTGAAAGTTAAAATGCAGTTTACGACTTAGTTATTTTACCGTTGTTGCAAAGAGCACGCCACAATCGGCAACCCTATCAGAGCATCAGTAATGTGACCTCATCGCTATAACCGAAGCAAAGTAAACACAGCTGTCACATGCATGCAAGGCAGCTGACTAAATGTTCGAGCATCTTTTATGCTTCGCTCTTCAAGCCTGGTCATTAGACTAAACCGTCCTCTCCAATTTGAGCTATGAATGGGGGAGGGAGCAAAATGTGTCCTTTTAGATGACAGCTCAGATAAAATATCAGCATAAAACTGGATAGTTGTAACATCTTTACAGGTTGCTAAAGTATTCTTTAAATTCAGATAAAATGATAGTCATGTTTCTTTCTGTGCTTGAGTAACCACAGTTTCTGCCTTCGCCTGAAGATGATGCAGGATGACTTGCTCTGGAGTGGTCTGTGAAACCACCATGATAACTGTAATGAAGCACTGATACAAAATGCAGCAGTTAGTAACAGGCCATTGGTTGAAAAAACCTATTTATATATTGTAATTAGCCAGATATAATTATGTTTTAACACTTAAAGCATAGCTCATTTAATTAAAAAGTTCCAACTGACATAAAAAATGGACTAAACCTCAGTATATCACAGAGTACCAGAAAAGCACAAGGTTAGCTTTATGCTAGGCACAAAGATACACAATGCTTTCCAATCAGTCTGTACATCTTGGGGGGGGGGGGGGGGGGGGGGGGGGGGGGGCATTAGCAAAGGAAGCCAGTCCAATTCATTAGCTAATGTTGAATCGGCACACTGTCAGCATTCACTAATCAGTTTTCCTGATGGATGCAGACATGCTAACAGTGCAGCAGAAAGGATGAACAATCTGGACTCTGCTAAAGAAACCTGGAACAACTGCATAGGGGTTCACCTTCATGAATTGCAATGATGACTACAGGGGATTATTCTAGGAAGAAACAGGCCCTGAGAAAATTTTTATTTTTTGAGTAGTATTATTATCGAGTGTCTATCTCAAAGCTACACACCCAGTGGTATATAAAGGAAGTGTAGACAAGTAAAAAAAAAATTATTAAAAGTGCACAAGGAAGAGAAAGTAAAAGTTAATCAGTTGACAGGCTCATGTGATGCTGCAGTCACAAGACGCTTTTATAAACCTGGGCGAGGCCTGGAAGGAGTCTCTGTCTTTAACATTAAGTAACATTGGTAGAGGAAAACAATATTTTATTTCAGGTGTAAACATTGTCATAAAAAAAAATAAAAAAAGTATTTGGGTTCAGACTGTCGGAGACAGACAGTAGCAGCTGTAATTATGTCAATTTTACTGCTTTTGTCATCTATACATAAAAAAAAGAAGCAATAGTCATTTAATAATATTTAAAAACACAAATGATTTGATAAAAAAAAAAAACTAACTTGATTAGTCGTACAAAAGTAAAAAAAATGCAACACTACAAATCAGGATGATGGTCAAATAAAATCCCAACAAGTAAAAATAAATCTTTCATAGTTGTCTCTAAACTCCATCTTTAACATGGATCTGAAAAAATGAAGAGTTGCCGCTATCGAGTCGTAATTGGGTGATTGCCCAACTCTACTACTTCCCGAACTTCAGCCAATTCCTTTGTTTCCCCGTCTTTTATTACTGTTCCAAATGATTAATCCAGATGTGTGTGACTTCAGTAACCATTACGAGAACAGCCAGACACACCTGGATTAATCAGTTAGTCCAGAAATTAAAGACAGGAAACAAAGTAGTGGGCTAAAGTTCAGGAAGTAGTGGAATTGAGCATTTAATATAACTCATTACTTGTGATTCTAGTTGTTTGAAGTGTTTTTCAAATGATCTTTTACTTATAAATGTGACCAGACTATGAAAACAATTAAAACATCCTGTAATAATCAGTAATCTGACGGGAAGAGAGCGATGGCTTGGGTAACATGCTCACATGTTCTTGTTCCTCTTTAAAGGTTAAATAGCAGAATTTTTGACCCACCTTCACCTTGAGAAATATCTATTGATCCAAGCCCACATACAGGGAACCCTTACAGTACCTATAGGGACAGTACACAATACTAGAGAACAAATGTACAGCAATGTTCATTTATTGAGATACCCGTTTATAGTCATTTAGAAAACAAAGGGGTTATAAGATGACATAAGCTGACAACTGAGACATAGTAAGTGTATCATTGTGATATAGTGTTTAATTTACAAATAGTGTCTTTTTCTTGGGCCACATGCACACTCAGAGATAGGGCCATGTATGCAGATGTAAATGAATGACCAAGTCAAATGAGGTATTAAAAAATACTAACCAAAGATTGAAACATGATGACATCTTCTATTGCTCTATACAAATATTTAAAGTGTAATTTATCAAACGGAGCTCTATGGAAGAGGATTAGGGCCACTGAAAAAATAAAAAAGTTAACTGATTCTTAAATATTATTTCAGTTTAAAATGGGAAACAAGTCAGAATTCTGACCTTAATCTCAGAATTCTGACTTTAAACACAGAATTTGTACTTTTTTTCTTTTTTTTAATTTTTTCTGAATTTTTTCCTCAGAATTCTGACTTTAATCTCAGAATTCTGGATCTTATTGGGCACCATGATGTGGAAGCCCTCAGCTTCACTGACAAAGATGTGAGTTGTTTGGGAGGGCCAGTAACACTTTGGTGGAAAATGATGGGATTAGGTGACTTTTTACGTGCCCAAGGGGTCCCTGGTGATGCTATTTCATTACTGGAAGAGCAGAAGGTGATTAAAACAAGAGAGCTAGTTTAGTCTCTAAAACAGGCATGGCTACAGTTTATTGCTAACCTGTTTGTCAGCAGTCAGAATTCAATCAGAATTCAGACAAAAAAGTCAGAATTCAGAGATTAAAGTCAGAATTCAGAGATCAAATTCAAAATTCTGAGATTCAAGTCAAAATTCTGAGATTCAAGTCAAAATTCTGAGATTAAAGACAGGATTCTCAGATTAAAAAGTCAGAATTCTGAAATTAAAAAAGTCAGAATTCTGAGATTAAAAAGTCAGAATTCTGAGATTAAAAAGTCAGAATTCTGAGATTAAAAAGTCAGAATTCTGAGATTAAAGTCAGAATTCTGAGATTAAAAAGTCAGAATTCTGAGAATAAAGTCAGAATTTTTACTTTTTTCCTCATATTATACTGAAGTAAAATGAAAAAATCTGTTTTTTTTTTCTCCCAGTGGCCTTAATCCTCCTTCGCACATCTCTGTGAAAGTAAAGACCCTGATGTATTCTTCTCCTGACCATGCACCTGTCTCCTACAATTAACACACACACGTCAGCTGCGACATCAAAAGCACACCGGCGTCAGTATGGAAATCCGGATTTATCTTGGTGATGTCTTCTAACAACTACAGTTTACGACATGGGTTTAATCCATCACATCTGAACTAAAGCAGCAGCAATCGAATCTCTGCTTTCAAATAACTTAACTGAAAGATCGCAGAAGCACGTAGGCTCGGGAATCAAACCGAGGTTAAAGCGGATAATCTCCGAGCACCACATCAAACGAAAGCAACGAGCATCCATGTTGGTTAAAGGGGTGTTTAGCTAGTTCATATCCTTGTCTACATTAAGCACTTTGCTCGCTAACTAATCCAAGGGCAGCAAAGCTGGCTAATGTTAGCCCACTCAGCTAACTATGCGCGTTTCTTACCTTTTATTTCTCCAACGGGGGTAATGTTTCTGTCGCTGTCTTTTCCCCTTCTATAGCCAACTTGAAGTGTTACAGTTCTTGCATCTCAGTTTTCCTTTTGCTTTCCGCCGCTAAAGCATTCAGGAACAAGAAGCTGCAGAAAGTAGCGCCAGGCTAATGGCTATACCGGGTGGGAATGATCTGTCAGTCCAAGACAGCAATCCCTCGCAAACCTCCTCCCACTCTACGTCTGCGCGCTCACGATCTCACAGCAGCCGCGCGCATGATCGAACAGGAAGTTTACTCACTACGACGCTACGTCACTAGCGTAACAGTCGGACGCTGTGGAGAGAAAAGTTGTCGGACGTTTTTGAAGATTAAGTCGAATACATTAAAACGTGAGTCTAAAACTTTTATCCCCTTTTTGTTTTAGAAAATATATCAATACAGTTGTTTTGTCACGTCAATTGATTTTATTTTAGTTTGTAAGACTTTGGCCTTCAGCGGTTGATCTATTTAGCCTTGTCATGGGCTAACGTTAGCATGGACCACAACCAAAACTCAACAAAGCTAATCATAGCTACATAGCTCAACTGCTGCGGTTTAAACAAATAAAATCACTATGAAATGAAAACGAGGTGTAAAAATAAAAATTATAATTTTACCTTTCAGGGTCGGGAAGAAGATAAAACTGGAAACGTGTCACCAGTAGCCTTGCAAGGCTGACTTTTACAGCTTGTTCTCTTTTGTTCCTTGTTGAGAAAGTTCCTGTTCGTTAATAAAAAGTAAAGTTGCCCCTTTTTTGTTAAAAACAGTCGATAATATCGATGTAAAGTGCCAAAGCCCGTACTTTTTTTTTTTTTATGAAATGATCCTGTCAAAGTCACCAGTCTTCCAGAACAGCAGAATCCAGCATGACTACATGTAGCTTCAAACTATTTGGTTGCACTTTAATAACTCTGCATATAAATAACATGGACATTTTTTTTACTCTATATATTATTGGTTCAGTTCAGCTTGACGGGAACAACCCAAAATATAGGGTATAATTTTGTGGTTTTAAATGTTATTATGTTTTTTAGGGGACCTATATAACCAGAAACCATAGGCAGTGCATAGATTAAAAAAATATTACTAGTAAATTACTTTTTTCTTTTATTTTAACAGTATGAAGGGGAAAAAAATTAGCAGGTTTGACAAATGTGTTTTTGGATTGATTCAATCTTTTCTTTAAGAGGACGTATTATACAAATTCAATTATTTTAATCCTTCAATACATTTGTCAACTTTGGGATCTTTAGGGCGGCAGAAAAGTTGAAGTTAGTCTGCATATGCTGTGGAGATGTTTATAGATTTATATTCCCTTTGGTTCACACATTTCAACCCATTCCTTTTTTTAAATGTTATTTATCACAGTTGCATTTTTTTAACAATAAGGTAAACAGGGCCATGGAAATCTGGCTAACTGATTTTTGCAAATCAGTTATATTTATTTCTTGCAGTTGGACGTATTAACACGCACAATGTGTTACTCTTCTGTATAATACCCCTTGATAACATAATTCACGTACGTGGTAAATTTTTTTTTTTCCTTTTAAGTAGTTGCCATATCAGGATTATTACTTTTGGCTATTGCATAAAAAAGAAATGTATGTATATAATATATTGCAAATTTGTGACATCGGTTATAATGATCAATGGTAACGAACACTGTCATGGGCCACTTATATCAGAAGCAAGTCCTTGACAAAGGTTTTTAGGTCTGCACAATTGAGGGAATAAAAACGCTAGCTTGCGAATGCTTTGTTGCTGTGCAGCTACAGTAACCTTGATTAGCCAGCCAGACTGACTTACTGTACACAGGGTGTAGCTAGGCCCATAATGCAACAGCCCTTTTCTGTAACCTTAACGGTCAAGATTGCAGCTGCAACAGAGCAAGGTTTTCATGATGCCCTTTATTGTGTTCCCAAAATAGCTGTTTATATGGTTAAAATGTAGACAACTGGCTGATGTATGAAAAAAAATTTTTGTGTCACATCTGTCATTGCCAAACGATTTAGCCAAAAATCAAGTTGCGATTAATTTTAACAAATATTAAGATTTTATTTCGACTTTCCTTTGCCCTAACCCCAAGCTTGTAGGTGTTTCACTTAAGGCTTTCAGTTTTTGAAAGCTTGCTTGCCCAAACCTACTTCAAGCGTTTGAAAGGGCTGGAGGGAGAAATTTTATATCTGACCTGTTAAATATAGTTCGATTTGAATTATTTTTTTTATCAAATTGCGATTACATTGCAAATGCACTGAATTGCCCCGCCCTAATATAGACTACTAGATCACAACTGAATGATCTAATTGGGAAAAGGACATATTTTATAGCATGATTTTTAAAGTAGCACAATTAGAACCACATTGAAATAGTCTTTTGAAACTTTGAAGTTGTTGAAATCTTTTGAAACTGTTGCACATTTGAATTAAGTTTTATATGAGGTCAAATAAAAAATAAGCCAATGATGTTTGGATGGCAAGTCATCCTTACTACCACATTCAATCCCCTAAAGCAAATGAAATCTGCTATAATATAGGAAAATATTAAAGGAATAGTACACCCAAAACATGATTAGCCTTCATTTTCTACTCACCCCCATGCTGAACAACACCCTGGAGTACTTTTTTGATATCTCAAATGCATCTGGAGATCTGGGAGGCTTCTTGCTGTCTGCTGACATTCAAATAATGGAGGTCTATGGTGCCCGAGACAGAAAGGTCCATAAAAGTCCACAAAAAACGTGTCAATATTCCTCCATACTGCTCGTCCAATGTATTCCAAGTGTCCTGAGTGGGTAGCATCCAGAATTTACTCGAAACGAAGTCATTTAGAATGTTTTTAGAGCATAAACAGTAGTGTATAGGATTTCCTGAAAGCGCGCACATGCGCGTTCACGACACTACGGAAGCCGGCAGACCAAACCAGATGAAAGTGCGCATTCAGCGTCTGCTCTGCCAATAATGCAAGCGTAGAAGAAGAAATGTGCTGTTTACCTGTGCAAAGAAAGAAACAACGAAAGAAAAATGTCTGAGGACTTCAGTGTTGAGGAAGAGCATGAGTTCTTTGCCGAGCTGAATGCGCTGGTTTGGTCTGCCGGCTTCCGTAGCGTCGTGACCGCGCATGTGCGTGCTTTCAGGAAATCCTATACACTACTGTTTATGCTCTTAAAAACATTCTAAATGACTTCGTTTCAAGTAAATTCTGGATGCTACCCACTCAGGACACTTGGAATACATTGGACGAGCAGTATGGAGGAATATTGACACGTTTTTTGTGGACTTTTATGGACCTTTCTGTCTCGGGCGCCATAGACCTCCATTATTTGAATGTCAGCAGACAGCAAGAAGCCTCCCAGATCTCCAGATGCATTTGAGATATCAAAAAAGTACTCCAGTGTGTTGTTCAGCATGGGGGTGAGTAGAAAATGAAGGCTAATCATGTTTTGGGTGTACTATTCCTTTAAGGATGTCTGGATCTGATACTGATATGAGCAATCGTTTTGATATCACTCAGAAAAATACACCAGAATATATCACCCTGCATCTAAAATCTCCAATTATTATTAACATGCTGAATGAAACACTCTACTTCTGTTTAAAAGTTATGTAACTCATTGGACAATAATGATGTGTCCATTGTCTATCTGTTATTGTTGACTATTGTTTAAGTGATATCACTTCTAACTTTCCACAATACATAATAAGTGAAGGTATGCATGTCTGATGCAATTATTATGTCAGGATAATATCAGTATCAGTCAGTATTTAAAGATGTATTAGGGTATCGGAAATTCAATAGTTGTATTGTGACAACCCTAATATAAAAAAAATAATATAGTGTCCCATTTCCCCCTGATGTCTGAATATTTTCCCATTAAGATAATAGAATACCACTGATATTTGGTCCGTGTGATGCTGATTGTGTTCGACTGTAATAGAAAGACAACCAATTCAATGAGACAGTCGGGAGGATAGCAGTTATCACTGCCTGAGTTATCCTGTTGTTTAAAGTTTATTAACTGTTTATTCCTTGTTAATATGTCAATTAGGAAGCAAGTGTAGAAATAGGATTTCCTCTTTATGATAAAACTGATAATCAAAATAGTTTTGATCAGTAGTAAAATCCCCATCATCTAACATAGGCATGTTCATGTACTGCATTTATTTCACCCAAAAAGAACGAGGCTGAATCATCTTAATGAATGTTTATAGTGAGGTATTATTTTTGATTGTTTTGAGAGTTTGATTAACTGTACAGTTGACAAATGACCCTGCCAGCTTAAAAAAAAACCCAAAACAAAACAAAAAAACTCTTAAGATGGCTACTTATAAAAATTGGGTGACCTCATCAGAATGACATTTCTTATTTTTCATCAGTTTAGGAGGATTCTAAAGATGTCTTCAGGGGCTCTGTTTCCGAGTTTGGTCAGCGGCTCGAGGGGAAGCTCCAGCAAATACCTGGTGGAGTTCCGTGCTGGAAAAATGACCTTGAAAGGGAACACAGTTACACCCGACAAACGCAAGGGTTTGGTTTACATCCAGCAGTCTGATGACTCCCTGATCCACTTCTGCTGGAAGGATAGAACCACAGGCAATGTTGATGATGTAAGTAAAGATTACTGTTTTTAAATTAGACTGTGATCACAAAAAATATATACAGGCAAATAGGGCAAGATGTTAAATGTATTGCTTTTTATGTGATCTAACTTTGGATGTTAATCTTAAACAGTGAACCACAAGCAAATATCATTTTCTCTACCTCTGCTCATTTTTATAATTACCCCTTATAAAGCATTGTTGCTAGCAATGCAATATTTTTCTAAATTATACCAAAAATATCTTCTCATCTTGTTGATACTGGAGATTTTCTGATATTTTCCGCACTCTTAGGTCAGACATCCTGACTTTTCATGATTACGTTTTCTTGTCCCTATAAATGTTGGCAAACGTTATTTCTAATACAACCTTAACTTTGATCCATTTTGTTTTTGGTAGAAGACAAATATCCATGTAAAGCCTCTTACCCACTAAAATTGGAAGGTTAACATGGGTTTTTCAAACACGGGTCGACCTACTAACTATCAGCATTTGGCTCCCTTCCCATTGACAAAAAAAAATGCAGGCTCTGACCTGCCGCAGGCGAGCTGCGTGGCCTCTCTCCCCCCCACTGCTGCGAATCTGGTGATGCCATCATGCTGGGTTAGCGTTGATGATGTCACCAGTGCAACTGAAATCAGAAATTTTAACAACAGAGAGAAACATGGAAGTCACTCTGCGTGTAGGAAGTGTTTCCTATTGTTTCGATCTTTTGTCCCTTCAATTCTCTCACCAGTGCTGCGCAATATTCATCCAATGTAATTAGCAGGTCAACCCGAGTCTGATTTTTTTCACTGTATGCTGCCCTTATAGCTAACATCTAGATATCAACTATATTTAAATATTCACTTGATACTTACATATTTACTACTATATTTATATATCCACTCTATCTTCTGACCTAAGCTAAATATGAGGTTAAGAAGTCAAATAATTTGTGAGGTTTTCTTTACCATAAGTAAATTGGAAGTTAAAAGTGAATGTCCTGTCTTCTTCTAGGACCTGATCATCTTTCCCGATGACTGTGAGTTTAAGCGGGTGAACCAGTGCACCACGGGACGTGTCTATGTGTTGAAGTTCAAGGCCGGATCCAAAAGACTCTTCTTCTGGATGCAGGTTAGACAATGATGCTGATCAACTGACTAGAAAACTAAGAGCCGATCCGCGGAAGAACCAGTTGTACTTTTTTCATTTTTAGTTATTTGTGTCTGTAAAGAGATCTACCACTTTTTTTAGCATGATTTTTTTGTCATGAGGCCGATCCAGTTACTGAGGCATGGGTCACTTTTAAGAAATTCTGTTTTGTGAGATTAAAAAAGGGCTTAACTTTTAAAATGGTCAATTTAGGAGCCTAAAACGGACAAAGATGAGGAGTTCTGCCGTAAAGTGAACGAGTATCTGAACAACCCCCCAATTCCTGGAGCTTCTGGCAGCGGTGGCGGCAGCGGCCATGAGCTGTCCGCACTGGGCGGAGAGGGAGGCCTCCAGAACCTGCTGGGAAATATGAGCCACAACCAGTTGATGCAGCTGATCGGTCCAACAGGCCTTGGTGGACTGGGTGAGTAACTCTTCATATATTCTTCCAAATATGAAAAATCTAATTTGCTTAAGGCTAGATTAGGTTTTATTGTTAGCTTTTTTTTTCTCCATTAAATTAAAGTTTATGCAAATATTAAAAACCAGGATCAGTTTGGCTTTCCAAAAGAAAAAAAAAATTTGTTTTTTTTTTTCAGATACATTGTCCAAAGAGACTTTGTGATTTGAATCTGGGTTAATAAACCCAGGCACAGACGTCAGGCAGGCAGAACTTGCATGCATGACTCGAAAGTAGGAATGTCCCGATCCAATATCATATATGATAACGTTTCGATATTTGCCAAAAAATAAAAATCTGATTTCGTCAACTGCCATCTAAAATCTTATCTTATTGTTGGTTATTTAACTTATTTTGTAAGTTACTGGACCCAATGTCCACAGGTGGGGGTTGTATTCAGCCCAATAACATGCAGAATGCTTGGCATTTGCCAGAGAACATCAGGATTGGCAAATTAGCCACTGGCGCCCTGTGCTCTTCACAGATGAAAGCAGGATCATCTTTCTACAGAACAAAGTATTCTATTTGAAAGTTTCGTGTTTTTTGAGTGTTCCCTTTTTTTTAGCGGTATTTTGTCAGCCTCAGGGTAAAGTTGAGCTGCTTTTTTTGATCAGTTTAGGCAGTTTTTATAGATCTGTTTTTGTTTGTCTAAGGAGGCCTGGGAGCTTTAGCAGGACCAGGGCTTGCAAACCTTCTGGGCAGTGGGGGTCCACCCACTAGCAGCTCCTCATCCAGGTAGGATTCTCCAAACTAAAAGACTTGTGTAGACTGAAGCAGATATCAGGTTTTATGGGCCAACTCTATCCTCTGGTTCCTTCCACCTCTCTGCTAATTTCAGTTCTCGGAGCCAAGCTGCAGCAGCAGCAGCCTCCTCTTCATCAGCTGCAGCCCCGAGACTCAGTTCTACCCAAACTCCAAGCACCCCGACACCTCCTGCTGCGACCGCTCCCTCCACTACTGCTGCCCCCGCTACCCCCTCCACACCAGGTATAATGCTCCCAGACATCCTATTGGATCTGCTAATGGCTTCATGTTTTCTAATGAACCTGAATCCAACCTTTACACTAAAGAAAGGCTGAATATCTCATCTGATGCCTGTTGAGTTTCTGTGTTGCCATTTAATCACGAGTTCCCCTCTTTCTCATTTGCAGCTCCAGCTCAGACACCTGTGGCTCCAGCCTCTGTGGGAAGCCCTCCCCCTCATCAGCACATCCAGCTCAGTGACCTTCAGAGCATCCTGGCCAACATGAATGTTCCAGCAGCTGCTGCTGCTCAGGGTCCTGCAGGTCAGTAGCTAATTTCCTACTTCGTGGTTCATTCTGTGGATGAGAGAAGAAGCTGGAAGTTTCTGTCTAGTGTGAAGAGAAAGCATTCAAGACTGACTGATGTTTGGAGCAATTGTTGCAATATTAACATCCTGACATTATTTCTTATTATTCCGCCCTTAATGACAAAGTTTTAGAAAAGAGGCTCCAGCTGTGACTCACCACAGCATAGAAGCTAAAGGGTTTTGTTGTTGTTTTTTTTAGTGGACCTAGCAAGTGTTTGCACCCCAGAGATGATGGCTCCCATCCTGACCAACGCTGAAGTCCAGCAGAGGCTCCTCCCCTTCCTTCCCAGTGGAGAAAGCTTACAACAGAGTGCTGAGGAGATCCAGAACACTCTTAACTCACCTCAATTCCAGCAGGTAGAACAAGATCAAAACACAGACCTTTAGAAACTTCTTTATGTTCTTTAAACTTTATTTCCTTATTTTTACATTTTCCACTTTTCTTTGGAGCAGTTTAAGGCTAAAACAGGTATTTGAAATGAGTCGACTAACTGTCACCTCTTTCTTTCTTTCTTGTAGTCCATGAGTATGTTCAGCAGTGCCTTGGCTTCCGGACAGCTCGGCCCACTCATGAGTCAGTTTGGTCTGTCAGCTGAAGCTGTGGATGCCGCCAACAGGGGAGGTAGGACAAACACACACCTTACATCCTTACATTTTTTTTTTCCTACTTGCTTTGATTCTGTTTTATGTTCCTGTATTTTAATCATGTAAAGCACTTTGCATTGTCTTTGTACTGAATTGTGCTATACAAATAAATTTGCCTTGCCTTGCCATTGAGTCATCTCTCTTGGACTCTGTCCATAGAGCTATCTGTCAGTGAAGAACGATGTGTATAAAAATGAGAATCACTGGGAGGGCTGCTAAATAAATGCTAGGTAGCTAAAAATATTTGCTTACCTGCCTTCACTCACATGAACTAAAGTAAAATCCCATTCAATAGGCAGGGTGAACGACAGCCATTGGCAGTATCTACTAAAGAGTAGCAACTCAGTGGCAAAGTCATTCTGTGTATATGAATCAATTTCCTGAGGAAAGCCTGTCTGCAGGAAGCTTTTTACCATCTGCCACCCTGAGATGCTCTGAACTAAAGTTTATTAAGCCCAAAGAACAGAAATAAAATGCAGACTCCCAATGCTACTCTTAGAAGCCACCATAAGATCAAGGACTGAATTTTCTCAGTAAATCTCCAATAATTTTCAGATAATGTCAGTTTGTTGCACTTTTACATAAAATCACTCAGGGTAGCCCCCTTTTTTCACTACTTTTTTTTTTTTTTTACTACGGGCATCGCTGCGTCATCATTTATCAGATTATCCTTTTTGAACAGGATGCCTTTTTATTAACGCATGAATCCACATCTTCAAAAGATGCTATCTTTCTTTTCCTTTGGTCTTAACACATTTTCTCTCCCTTCCTCAGATGTAGAAGCGTTTTCCAGAGCCATGCAGGGCAGCAAAGGAGACTCAAAAGAGAAGAAAGAGGACGATGAAGACATGAGTCTGGATTAGAGACGAGCCAGCCAAGTCCCACACTCGTCTGTGCTTCCGTTTACCTCTCTTTATATCAGCATTGTCTTCAACCATTTTCTACACCAAAGGCAATGTTTCTACTCAGGAGAAATGAAATATTAGCTAGGGTTTACTTTGATCACCTAGTAGAGTTTTCTGTGTTTGAATTTCTCCTATGTTCCATTTCTTTTAAACTGTTCTGGGACTAAGCCTTGTTTTCTTTTTGTTCTTAAAGTAAAGACTGTGTGATGTCAGCTTTTTGGGGACTTACTAATAAAAATAAAGGATAAAAACACTCAAGTGTACATTTTATATGAAAACAGAATTTATTTAAACACAGGGCTGGGAGTGAGTGGGTTGGCAGCTTATTCTTTGAGACATTTTTAAAAATATGAACATGCTCACTTTTTTTGTTTGTTACAAAAAATGAAGACATTTGTAAGAAAAAAAAACCCAAAAATGAACAGGATGAGTGTAGATCATAAGGTTAAAGTTGGTTAAAGAGGGAACAGGTGGTGTCCATGCAGAACTGAGGTTATTTATGGTCAAACTTATTTGGTTGCAATTTAATAACTAATTTACTGCAAAATTTGTGGTATTTTAAGAATTTGAAATATGTTAACCTATCGGAAACAAATATGGATTTAGCCCATATGTGGCTAAAAAGAAATAGGATCCGCTCATGACATTTTAGGGCGTTTTCCATTAGGATTACTGAAAGATAACAATAGAAGGCTGTTTAAGGTCAATTCAAAGAAAACACTTTTTTTTTTAAGGCATGCTTTACCTCCATTTCAATCAATAAAACCAACTTATGAGGCCTGATCCTGTTCTAGGTATAAAGTATCACAGTGTGCACACATGGATTAACTCGTAGGCATGTCAGTTTCATCAATATACAGCAGAATCAGGAACATAGTTTGGGAAAAAAAATTAGCTTTTTTTGTTTTACATGTTTAATTTTAAAGTTAATATTCATTTTAATCAGTGCATAGTTATGTGAAACCAATTATTACTGATGTAGCACAAAAAGTAATGTGAAAATATATAAAATATGCTTTTTTTCTCCCCTCAAAAAATAAAATAAATATTACTATATCTTAAATTAGCTACAGTATCATGACACCCACCACCGATTGTTTACTGTCGGGGAATGTGAGGATATGCCTACATGTGAGGACAGCCTTGAGTTCCGACGGCTCCGTGCACAGAGAGCGGTTTGGACAACATCACAGGTCTACGGTTGATGCTAACATGGTGGAAGCAGCCTTGGAAAGCTGGGGAACCGTGAAGGTGGTTGGACGCTTTGATCTCACCTGGTGAACAGAGAATAAAATATATAGCAATTTGGAAAAAACTGACCTTTTCAGAAAAATCTTGCTTTGTTTTATAAATCCTGAATTTAAAAAACCAGGGGAAGACTGCCTGAAAGGGAAGATAAAATGACTCCAGTATCATTCCCTTACTGTTTTATATCCTAGGGGTGATTTTTGCAGAGCGAGAACCAGAAACTTGGGATCTTGGCAGCAACATTGAAAGCTTTGTCAGCTTAAGTATTCAGCCTGGTATTAGAAATGGAAATTATCCCAACCTGCTTAAAGTTTTAACTTCCAGGACCTAACAGGAAGCTGAAGAGATTTAACGCTGCCATGGTTACAAGGTGCACACTCTAGAAGGCAGACACCACTGTGATAGAGCTGCTCAGTATAGAAAAAAAAAGTTTAAAATTGGAATGACATTGCTGAAAATTAAAACATGATGGTGCCTAATGGGTCAGAATTTTTTTGTATCCCAAAATATCCAGACAATACATCAGCTGTGGACATTAAAGGCCATTTAGAGTCAACTCCATCGGCCAAATATATTGATATTGGAGTAAATTATTAACTTATGAAATATGGTAGTGTTCTACCAAATACTACATCCAAGCACTTTACTTTTTACATAAAACAATGCAATAACAATTGTGATTTGATATATTGCTGTAAAAAAAATGCAGATGCAATGTTATTAAGCCACAAGTAAGTTCACTGAGTCTTTAGTCAAGACTCCAGAACTGATAGTGCAGCCATTGACTGTGATATACTGTAGGCTGATTATCAACGAGCGCTGGGAATTTAATGACAAGAAGATTATGGGTCTGAGTACACATCCTTAAGGTACTCCGTAATACTTCGCAGCTATAGAAAAGAGAATTTGGCTGCTTAAATCTTGTCAAGTTAATTTGTTTTTAACCACAAATCCTCGCATGAGCAAAACAACAGTCAAAAATGTAAATAACAGATAAAGAAATTAATATTTTTAAAGTATTCTACAATCAAAATAGCCTTTCATGAAAGCAGAAAAGTGCTAATTTTTTTAAACATTACTTCTTTAAAACTCATTTTATAGACCTTAGCCACTACTTTCCTGCACTGGAAAAAATTGAAATCTAGATAAGTAATTTTTTATTAAAATGTGTGCATTTGTTCTTGTATTGAGGAGGTAAAAGAGACATTTTGCCAATAGAACAAGATAATTTACATTCAAAATAAGAAAACACAATTGCATTGTCTTTTTTCAAGTGCATATTATCTACATTATATATAAGATTATATATATATATATTATTTTAATAATAAAAAGAATCATTCCATTGGCAAACTACTCGAATTAAGGGTAAATACACTTAATGTAAGAAATTTTTACTTTTTTATAGATCGTTTTTCCAGTGTGTCAACATTTTTACAGTATACAGGTGCTGGTCATAAAATTAGAATATCATGAAAAAGTAGATTGATTTCAGTAATTCCATTTAAAAAGTGAAACTTGTATATTATATTCATACATTACATACAAACTCATATATTTCAGATGTTTATTTTGTTTAATTTTGATGATTACAAATGACAACAAATGAAAATCTCAAATTCATCATATCAGAAAATTAGAATATTGTGAAAAGGTTCAAAATTGATGGCCCCTGGTGCCACACTCTAATCAGCTAATTAACTCAAACCACCTGCAAAAGCCTTTAAATGGTCTTTCAGTCTAGTTCTATAGGCTACACAATCATGGGGAAGACTGCTGACTTGACAGTTGTCCAAAAGACGACCATCGACACCTTGCACAAGGAGGGCAAGACACAAAAGGTCATCGCTAAAGAGGCTGGCTGTTCACAGAGCTCAGTGTCCAAGCACATTAATAGAGAGGCGAAGGGAAGGAAAAGATGTGGTCGAAAAAAGTGTACAAGCAAGAGAGATAACCGCACCCTGGAGAGGATTGTGAAACAAAACCCCTTCAAAAATGTGGGGGAGATTCACAAAGAGTGGACTGCAGCTGGAGTGAGTGCTTCAAGAACCACCACACACAGACGTATGAAAGACATGGGTTTCTGCTGTCGCATTCCTTGTGTCAAGCCACTCTTGAACCACAGACAGCGTCAGAAGCGTCTTGCCTGGGCTAAAGAGAAACAGGACTGGACTGCTGGTGAGTGGTCCAAAGTCATGTTCTCTGATGAAAGTAAATTTTGCATTTCCTTTGGAAATCAAGGTCCCAGAGTCTGGAGGAAAAGAAGAGAGGCACTTCATCCACGTTGCTTGAAGTCCAGTGTAAAGTTTCCACAGTCAGTGATGGTTTGGGGTGCCATGTCATCTGCTGGTGTTGGTCCATTGTGTTTTCTGAGGTCCAGGGTCAACGCAGCCACATACCAGGAAGTTTTAGAGCACTTCATGCTTCCTGCCGCTGACCAACTTTTTGGAGATGCAGATTTCATTTTCCAACAGGACTTGGCACCTGCACACAGTGCCAAAGCTACCAGTACCTGGTTGAAGGACCATGGTATCCCTGTTCTTAGTTGGCCAGCAAACTCTCCTGACCTTAACCCCATAGAAAATCTTTGGGGTATTGTGAAGAAGAAGATGCAATACACCAGACCCAACAATTCAGAAGAGCTAAAAGCCACTATTAGAGCAACCTGGGCAATCATAACACCTGAGCAGTGCCACAGACTGATCGACTCCATGCCACGCCGCATTGCTGCAGTAATACAGGCCAAAGGAGGCCCAACTAAATACTGAGTGCTGTACATGCTCATACTTTTCATGTTCATACTTTTCAGTTGGCCAACATTTCTATAAATCCTTTGTTTTTATTGGTCTTCAGTAATATTCTAATTTTCTGATATGATGAATTTGAGATTTTCATTTGTTGTCATTTGTAATCATCAAAATTAAACAAAATAAACATCTGAAATATATGAGTTTGTATGTAATGTATGAATATAATATACAAGTTTCACTTTTTAAATGGAATTACTGAAATCAATCTACTTTTTCATGATATTCTAATTTTATGACCAGCACCTGTAGATGACAACCTAAATCCCCCCATAAACTGCAGAGGTCAGTATAAGGACTTCAGATACAGGAACCTTGGAGACAGACAACGCTAAAATGGTTCGGACGGCTGATGGGATTGTGATATTGTACTCACTTGGTGCGCCTCCAAGGTGTACGGTAGCTTTAGCTCCGGCAGACCGGCTCTGTTTCGGGCCCACAGTCTGTTCACTGCTTCCATCCACATGCAGTTGCAGGAGGTTGTTTATCTTCACCACTGGAGATGAAATCTGCATTACAAAATGCGACAGAGTGGTAAAAGATGCAGAAAATGATTTGATGGTCTAAACTCACCTCTGATCGTGTGCCATTGCCTGTTACACAGAGGCTCCTCAGGGATTAAAGAGGTAGAGAATTCCCCTTTGCCACTGTTTATGGAAACAATCACCTACACACACAAACACACTATTTTTAGGTTTGTTTTTTAGGACTCTGAAAAATTAGACAAAAAAGACTCAATGCATTATTCTGAAGCTGATTTATTGGTTAAAGAAAGCATAGCTTCACCTCCCCCTGGCTTAGCACCAAGCTCAGGTACTGGTCAGATGAAGTTCCCGCGTGCAACACCAGCCCAGAGTCTGAAGTGGGTCGAACCTCCAGTTGGATCTCAAAATCCCGACCCAGAACCAGAGAGTTGTCTGCCAGGAGGCGGAGACACTTCAATCAGTCTACACTCAAACGTAGACAAAAAAAATACAACGGCCGAAACACACAGGGATAGTACCTACCTATTTCCATGTGTCCTCCCTCCCCAGAGAAGTACACTCCAGGTTGTAGAGGGTTCTGGAAGCAGGGCACCACCCCCTGACTGTAAGCTGGGTTTCCTGCAGGGACTGCGTTCAGCTTCAGATCCCTGATGCATCCGATGAAACCATCACAACCTGTAGGCTAGAATTTAAAACCCCCACACAAGTGGAAAAATGAGCTTTGATAAAGGGCAAAAAGAACCTTTTTATATGAGGGGCAGTACAAGCCATAAATCATACTCATATACACATTTTATCTCGTACGATACATATTCTCACATACATATATTCTTCAACATATATACATACTTGCTCCTCACACAAATATTAATTCTGCTGTCATTATAAATTATGAAATAATTATTTAAATGTGTCATTAGTCTCTTAAAACTGGAAATAAATACAAATTTAAGGTAAATAAATAGTAACTTTTATGGTCCTCTGTTAAATATGTTGATTTTATTTCCAGTATTGAGTATAATTATTTTACAATTTAATAAATTATTCAATTGATTCTGCACTGAAGCACACCATGAACTAATTTAAATGGTCAGACAGCCCCCAAAGTCAGAGGCGGGGCTAGAGCCGCTCTCACAGTAACCCTGACGTCTGATTGGCTGCTTTTCATTTAAAAAGGGGAGAAAACTTCCTCCTGTTTTTTTTTTTTTTACTCTAAAGTCAATATTATTGCTGGAAAATGGTGTGAATTACGTATTCATACTAAAATTAATGTAAATCTGACCTTGATTGAGGCTGGGATTCCTCCAATAAATAAAGGCCCTGTGATCCGCATCTTGCTGCCTCCAGGTATCCTCTTAGATCGAACGCTGATGCCACCTACTGTCAGAATGATCTTGTTCCCTTCATGCTTTATGAAAACCTGCAGAGACACGGGAAGCAGAGAACCTTAGAAACATCTGGTGAACACAGTCCCGACCCATTACTTTCACGATTTCTCCTGTACGAGATTTCTAAATCTCTAACGCTCCTCCAAACTGACGGGTTGGAGGAGCGAGTGAGGGGAGAATGGAGCGGGGGATCGATAAACAGATCGGTGCAGCTGCTGCTAACATGCAGACACTGCACTGGTCTGTCGTGGTCAACGTTTCTACCCTCATCTGCAGTCATGAAATCTGGATCATGACCGAAAGAACGAGATCTAGGATACAAGCGGCTGAAATTAGCTTTTTCTGCAGGGTGGCTGGGCTCCTCCTTAGAGAGTCAGTCATTCAGGAGGGGCTCAGAGTGGAGCTGCTTCTCCACATCAAGAGAAGTCATCTGCAGTGGCTCAGGCATCTTTGTCTGATGCCCCTTAAAAGCCTCCCTCAGGAGGTGTTCCAGGCATGTCCCACCGGGAGGAGGCACAAGGGATGACCCAGGACATGATGTCTCTCGGCTGGCCTAAGAGCGCCTCGGGCTTCCTCCAGTAAAACTGCAATATGGGTCTGCAGAGAGGGAAGTGTGGGAACCTCTGCAATGCAATTTCTAAGATCTGTTGAAGATTCTCATTCATCCAGGCAGGCTCGGACTGGGAACGACAACCAAGACTTCTGTAAAGTGGTTTTACTGGCTTTGGTTATAAACACAGACGCAACAGTGACTGCTGCTGCGTAACGTCCACACATGCACAAAGCCAGCCAGAAACCCACTCACTCACGCATACTAGCTCTACAACATAATCAGCAGGGTTGCAGATGTCACTGATTCTTGTCTTCCAGCCCAAAAAATTTTCATAAACCGCCTGGATATATGAAATCTCGCCCAGTTTGATCCAAAGTCTATTAATCTCTTAGGCCATAAATCTAAAGAAAAACATTTTTTACCCATAGACGGCCATCCTAATCTGCCAGATTGGGAAACATCCTAACCAGGCAACAATGCACATAAGATGGGAAATGTTAGCCTTTAGAACGCTATCATGCACCGCAACATATATTTGCAAAATATTCTAACATAAATTCGCAAAAAGAGGAACAACGTAGCTTGGTTTAAAGAAAGCATTTTAGTTTTATTATAATTAACTTTTTTGCAACGATTTTACTGCTGGAAGAAATAGATAATGACACCATACGCCAACCGTCACAGGGATGTGCATGACAAGGAAGGGCTATATAAATGCATGCATCATATAGATAGTTAACATTGTATTACTTCTTGAGCTGCTTGAGTTATTTACTGTCACAGTTGGGTGCTTCGGCCAGAGAGTCAGTGTTGGGGCCGGTATGATTTAAGAAGCGCCGGCCCTCCACACTGAAATTAGGACCGGCCCACCGGGCAAATGCCCGGTATCACAGATTACCAGTCCGAGCCTGCATCCAGGTCATAGTCATTCCAGGGAAACAAAGTCCAGTGGATTGTTTTTTGTTTTGGAATGACTTTTGACATCAATTGTTTCAAAGAAAAACACTTACAGGAGTCAATTAGCAGTGCTGTTTGCCCTGATGAGCCCTGAAATTTTTCAGCTGTAAACAACAAAACCAACATGATTTTGTGACCTCACCGGGTGCCACCGCTCGTCGTTGTATCTGTTCAGGCTGCGTACTTTGACTTTGACCCCTGCTGCCTCTACTGAGAGCAACAGGTGGCCTTTTAAGACGCTGAGCGACATCACCGGTCCGCCGTGCCGCCTGCCGGCTGCGTAGAGGATGCAGCCGTCAGAGGAGTTGATCTTCACCTCTAAGGACAGGTGAGAGCTGCGGAAAGACGATTTGTATTATATAAGGTTGTCTTTATATGCAAGCTGAACCTACATATAAATGATACAGCAATCACAAATATTTGTCTGGATGGATTTCTTAATACAGTGATTAAAATCCTGTTTAAAGTCTAAACATGTAAAGAACAAAGAATTTAAACATCTAAAAATTTAAAGAGGAAGTAGAAAATTTAAAAATGGGGAAAAAAATTATCTTCTTTTAACAATAAACAAGTGAGTATACATGCAGTATTCTTAAAATGAAAATATTAGCTGGGAAATGTATATTGGCAGAATTTGGACGTCAAACCAACACTTTGGAGTCGAACTTGGAGGTCAAAGAGGCCACAGCATGTAAGTGTAATTCTACCTTTACCCAGGTCTGACTCTGATGCCCAAATGCCTGCTGATGGGCCTCTTAGACCATCAGCAATAACTTGAAAACCATCCATTTCCCTTAAACCTTTTTGAATTTGGTCACATTACAGCGAAAAACTTCACTGATCTAGACTGAATAAAGTTGTGTAAAATTCAGAGGTGAGTGGAAAACATAATAAACAGGTAAATATCTAAAAAGTGCGGCATGCATTTGTACTCTCCTAAAAGAAAAGTTTGCTGCCTCCATCTTGACTCCTCCCTCTAATCAGTTAAAAGAGTCTTTAATGTGAAGTGTTTAATCTCTGTATAAACCCGACTGCTCTCTTCCTGGCCTCAGAGAACATAAGAGAACAAAGAAAGTAATGAGAACCAAGGAACACAGCATGCAGTTCAGAGAGAAGGTTGTGGAAAAGTCTAAAGGTCCACCAACGCTTTGAGCATCTCCCAGATCTCTGTTCAGTCAGTCCATCATCTGAACATAGAGAGAGGATGGACCACCTCCAGACTGACCAAAACATGGAGGTCCACCTAAACGGTTCTTCTCATCTGTGTTTACACTCACATGGATCTGATCATCACAGAATCCTGTCTCTGGTAGCTGTAGGTAGAGCCGCTGAAGTGCATCGCTCTGCTTTCAGGGTGCGACAGCTCCCTCTGGCAGGACTCCCTGGTACTGCGACTGCGAGATTTCGGCGGCTTCTTTTGATTGCCCTGAGAGGAAGCAGCGTGTTTAATGGATGTCATGGCAGCTGGAGGAGCAGAACTTTGGTATGCAGCCTGCAGTACCTTATGTTTGCGTTTGTGCTGAGTAGCAATGATCTGTTGAGGTTTTTTAGCTGCAGGACAGCTCAGAGGGACGTTCACATTTAGTTTAGCCTTCAGTAAGTCCAGAACTGTTTGGTCATTTGTGCTGTTGGATGCAAGAATAGTCGATATATTTTACCAAGCTGTTAATACTATTTTCTTAACAGTAGATGTTCAGAAGTCATTCGATCTTAATTTAAAAGTTGCCCAGGTGGCATAACCACCATTTGAGGCTATTTTTGTATTTCCTCAGTTTTTTTTTTTTTTTTTTTAATTGAAACGTTTTAGGTGATCCGAAACACTAAGGGTCAACTAAAAAGATCAATACAAGACTTCTGTTAGGAGAAATGCACTTTCATACCAAAACGCCAGAATTTTAGAGGAAATAAAGCTTTTCTAACCTCTTTATGAAGACATTACTAATGCATCCTGTAAGATTGTTGAGATTCTGGTAAGGTGATCCTCCCAGGAAGGTGACACTAGTTGGAGGATCAGGTGGATTGCTGCTCGGCTTCTTGCTGCCACTCCCCTTCTCCAGCATGTCGTCCACGTACAGACGCAACCTGTGGAAGAAGCACGTCCACAGTTGGCAAACAATTGGGGTTTTTAAGGTTTTTAATTCCAAGTCAGATTTCTGACACCTAAAACAAACAATTTATCATCAAATCCACAACATCTAGGTCCCTTCTTATAAGGACACACCCATCTGATACCTGGATATCGGCTGTGATATTGAGTTATTAGCTGGATTGGATATCAGTGATTTGATGTCGGAGATCCAATCCATTGCATTTTACATAAAACTGTTATTTATTTCTTTGTGCCGCTCATTTGTTAATATATAACATAAAGTACATTTATATCTGTGTTAATTTGTTACCTTTTTGTAACAATGTTTATGTCGAGGCTAAAGACTTCACTCAATGCCAAGATATATGGTTCATTCATTTAACAGTTGGATTGAATCGGTATCGGCCAATACTCTAAGCCCAGGTATCTGCATTGAATCGAATCGAAGAAAACTGGATTGGTGCATCTCTAACACTGAAATATTGTAGGTTAGGAGTTCAAACCCTTCCTTTGTGTCTTTAGGCCTAAATGATAACATCAACATTTCAAAATATATCTTATAAATATATTATAAATTAATTGAACATGCAATTAATGCAGCATCTAATGCTGCTTAATATAATTTTGCAATTTATTCAAATGTAATGTATTTTTTTAAATTATACCAATAGGCAAATGATTTACGAAAAAAAAAAAAAAAAATAAAACAATAGAGATAAAAAGTGTTGCTGTTGTTTTTTTTTTTTTTGTAATGACCAAGTTAAGAACAGTTTTTCCTTTTTTTCCCCCTCTCCTTGTATTATATGAGTAACTCAACATGGTTTGGAGGGTTTTTAGAGGTTTTTTATTTTTAGAATCACACTTAAACCTTTTGCTCCCGATTAAAAATAGTAGAAAAGTTCACATGTACAGGTAAGGTATGAATAAAAAGAATAAAAAACTTCCGACTAAACAACACAGGAAGTACTTTTCCAGCCAGACGAGTCGAGTCTAATTCATGTCTTAAGTGTTTAAGACACAAGTCTAAGTCAAGATTAATGTGTTATCTCTGCAACTTTAATGCGATGATAGTTGGAAGCTCCGACTCCAGTCACCTTCCCCGGCCATCTTACCCGTTAACGTTGCTGTAGAAGGCAATATTGTGGCTATTATCATCATTGTACGTCATCTGAGTCTTAACCTCGCTGTCGGCAGCCCTCACCACAATGTGGCCCTTCTGTAAAGAGACCTGACAGATCGCCTCCTGCAGCCACAGAGGGGTTAAAAATAAGCAGAGTAGAATAACAGAGAAGAAGGTAAGATAAAAGGAATCACGTTTTATACTCTGACCTGATCCCTGTGGTACAATATAAGGCCGTCCTTCTCATCTGTTCTGAAGCTGAAGCTGGCGTAGAAGTCGTTCTTCAGGTTGTTGATAGATGTGGGGGCTAACTGCAGGTAGTTCTGACCTCTAAAGTGAGCCTCCCGAACGACCTGCAGAAACATACGACAGCTAAACCAGTGGTCCTCCACTGCTTCTATTCAACACAAACCACAATGTCTGCACTAGCAAAGCGGGAAAGAAAAGACACAATTCTTTTTAAGGAATCGCAATTAGTTGCAACGAGTTTAAAAAACGCAAAAAATTTGGATTCCACTTTTTTTTCAAGCAATATAAGCTGCTGGTTTGTCGCCTTATGGTCCCAATAAAAAACATACTGACATGTGCAGCTGTTACCTGAATATTTAGCATGATTTATTCACAGCACTGTAAGAATCATGTTTGAAGGACTCGAGGTTTGAACAACTGTTAAAAACTGAAAAGGTTCTTATTTTACCAGCAGGTCGTCATCACAGCCGAAACTGACTCCAGAGGTTTTCATGCTGGACAGAGTGACGAAACCCCTGCTGGTCTTGATGTTCCTGAAACAGCCTTTCATGGAGGTCTGTCCTGAAAACAGCGCCTTCAGACTGAGGAGACAAATATATGCTGCTTAAAATCAAAATTTCCAAACATTCGACATTTTTTTAGGCTTGGATTCTAAAGATTGGATACATTTGTCCTATTTTGAACATTTAACTACAAACTAATGATAAAAGAGTCACTCTGGCCTTGTGGCTATTATTGGAACAGACCCTATAAAGGTTGGTCACAAACTCCCTTGCTGTCCATTTTAGTTAAAATGACTAAACACAATGAAACACGGCACAGGCAGCATTATGCTCGTTATACACTTCCATCCCACCGACGTGAATATTTTTCAAAACAAAGTGATGGTCTGATGAGGTTCCACAAACCTGCCCGGTATCTCCTCCTCTGGTGCTCCTCCCAGATAGTATGTCGTGTCAAACCCGGGTAATTTCGCAGTTAAAGTTTGTTGAAAGATGAAGTCATTGTTTAGCTTTATCGCAACTTGTTTAGTGCTGTTAACAAGGAAAACCTGGAGCTGAAAAAGCAAAACAAACAGAAAATTACTTTTACCAAATAAATTAAAAAGAATATCAAACAATTTTCATGACTATTTTCATTCAGGTAATGTTGCATCTATAATTTTAACTCAGCAAGATGCCATGTGAAATAGAAAGGTGTCTGACTTTAGAGGATAAAAAACAAAAAATAGGGTCCGAGTTTAGTGTTGTTGCAGAAAAATATTATCTCTGTTAAACTTAAACCAGTCTTTAACTTGGTAGTTTAAAACCTTGTGATAATTGCATTTAATCTATAGTGCGATAATTTGTTTTAACATTTCAATAAATGAAGTGCTAAAAGGCAGATGTAGTTCCGTAATTTTCGGACTATTAGCCGCAACTTTTTCCCGAATTTTTCGACCTTGCGGCTTATATAACAATGCGGCTTATCTATGGACTTTTACAGCTAACGGCCACTAAATGGTAAATGGCATGTACTTATATAGCGCCATTATTCAAGTTAGGAGACTTGACCAAAGTGCTTTACACTACATTTATTTATCCATTCAAGCACACACTCACACACTGATGGTGGCAAGCTACATTGTAGCCACAGCTGCCCTGGGGCTCACTGACAGAAGCGGGGCTGCCGTACACTGGCGCCACCGGGCCCTCTGACCACCATCAGTAGACAATGCAGGTGAAGTGTCTTGCCCAAGGACACAATAACACTGAAAGTCGGAGCTGGGGCTTGAACCGTCAATCCTTCGATTTCAGGGCAAACTCCAACATCCAACGCCAATGTCGCCCCACCTAGCCTCCACTAGGGTAATACCTAAATGTATGGATTTTACCATCCACCATGTTGACGTCGCATTTGCTTCAACACACAAGTACGGTAGCCGCTCGTGCGGGAACGCGGAGGTCCTCCGGAAGCAGACTTCTACCGCGAGTGGTACGAGACAGAACGACAGCGAGAAAGACGGACATTGCGAGCACAAGACAGTTTGTGTTAAACATAAAAAAACCTGCGGCTTATATTCAGGTGCGGCTAATAGTCCGAAAATTACGGTAATTATATGGGTTACATCTTACAGTATATGTCACCATTATAAGTGATTCCAATATTCTTCCAAGTAAAAGAACTGATCATCTTAACCAAAGCAAAATAGAAAGAAAATATTTTTAAAGAGTTTGTAAATAGCTGCTTTGAGCTGCTAGTAAAACATTATAAGGTAAAAAATGTCAGACTTACCATTTTTGAGTTCCCATCAGTAATCTTCAGCAAATCCTTTGTTACTTTAGATTTCATATCAACCAAAGTACCATTGAAGTTATAGAAAGCATGGATCTCTCCCTGAAGTGCGGCCATGCAAAAGAACTGCATCTGATGGAGGAAACACATACAAAAGCACTCAGTATATCTCAAACACCACGGCAGGCACCTAACAATGACAGAAAGCTGAGGATGTTGTTTTTTTTTTTTTTTACCTGATGTTTTAATAGTAATATAATTCCTTGCTGTGAGATAAGTCTGAATTCCTGCTCAAAGCGTAAAACATTATCTTTATTAAAGACGATCTCAGCAAAGCCGGTTCCGTCAAAATAGGCCCCATCAGTCACCCACGGCCGGCTCAGTCTCAGTGGGGTCCTGTTTAAAGATATGATATCCAACAATGAATAAAGAAACAATTAGGATTGGCTGCACAGCCGAGCTGCTGCAGGATTTATTTATTTTTTTAATAGATTTAGTCTGTTCTCTCTGTGCATGTCTGTGATCTCTCTGGGTACTCTTACTTCCTCCCACAGTCCAACCAAAAAAATGTTAGCTAAATTAACCGTTCTCCAAAGCCTTTAGAAGCCTGGAATTGATGCCTCCTGCTTTGGCATCAGAGTGAGAACAACTTTTGGGATAAACGGTGAGGTTTAAGACTAAGGTGGGAGTTTAGGTTAAGGTTAGAGTTACAGTTATACAGTATAGCCCAGTAAAACATTTAGTGTATGAGAATCCTGCTTTAATACATTGTATTTTTGTGCCACCAGCTTCAGTGCACGGCGTGAGCATGTGAGACACATCCACAGCCTTTAAATCTCATGCACACTCGTTTTAAGGCATGTCTGCTTGCTCTCTGCACGGTGGTGTGCTCAGCCTCCTCCATGCTCTTTAAACATGATCTGTTTGAGCAGATGGCTCTGCGTCTGCAACTAAATAAACTGTATGTCATTGAACAACACCTTCAGCCAGGTGTGAAAAATGCCTTTGCCTAACTCACAACTCTATTTCTTCCACCTCCTGAGAGGTGATAGATAACTTTCTTCCAAAGGGATCAGTATACTCTATGCAGAATAGATATTTCCATATTTTACTGTACATAATTTGCACAAAGATCCAGATGACAAGGCATTTAAAGCATCTTTATCTACCGGTACACACATACAAAAGTCCTGGTTCCACATTCTTAATAGAGAAAGGAGGATTCCTCTTTCCATTGGGATTTTATGTGTCGAATCCTCTGATCTTAGGTCTAAATTTACTGATTCTTTCACTGCTGGGAAAATAGCAGACGCTGGGAATGTATTCTGGTTGAGATCAATCATAAACAGGGTGGAATGGTGGACTTCAAATTGTTTGGTAATGACCTACACCTCATACTTTGTGCATCCACAGTTCTTTCTTCAAGAACAAACCTATAGAAAATCACACTTTTATAAATGTGGTCCAGTTTTCAGTGTCATCTGTAATAATAATGGCAATTAGTTTAGATTCTGAATTGTAAAATACTTTAGAGCTTTAAAAGTACCAGAAATAAAAATAACCGAAGGAATAACATAAGGAAAAAGAAAAAAAAAACATTTTTTTTGCTTAAAAGTGATGAAGATCATTTCCCTGTCAAGCAAAGAAAACTCCTATTGATGATATCTCTGCGGTTCAATCATTTGCTCTGACCTGACGCATGGTCTGTCCGTTAAAGTGCTGAGCTGGATGGTTTTCTCAAAGTTATACAGACTGAGGACCTCCTTGTTCAGCGTTTCCAGCAGAATGCATCCCTCGAATCCTTTGGCTTTGTCAAATGGGGCTGGCAGCTGAAAGAAAGAAAGAAAGAAAGAAAGAAAGAAAGAAAGAAAGAAAGAAAGAAAGAAAGAAAGAAAGAAAGAAAGAAAGAAAGAAAGAAAGAAAGAAAGAAAGAAAGAAAGAAAGAAAGAAAGAAAGAAAGAAACAAACAAATGAAGAAAGAAAGAAACAAACAAACAAACAAATGAAGAAAGAAAGAAAGAAAGAAACAAAAAGAAACAAAGAAACAAAGAAACAAAAAGAAACAAAGAAAGATAGATAAATAAATTCTGAGAAAATAAAGATAGTTTCTGTCCTTTGGGTTAGACATCCTAAACTATTTACGGTACAAAATAAATTAGGCAAAATATATGTATAACAACCATTGTACATACTGTTAGCAAAATAAAGTTTCTCATTATACACAGTCCTTTTTTTAATGGTGTAAAATCATTCTTTTTCTTGGCATTTCTGCGACCATTTCATAGGTATAATTTTTCAGATTCACTACATATTTAATATGTTGAGTATTCATACTTCCTGTAACCCTAAACATGACTTTCTTTGCTTTTTGGCTGCACTAACAACAGTGAGTCTAACCTGACAAGTAAAGCCCTTAGCCCATCTTTACTTACCTGGAAAGAATCTGGGGGTCCGCCAACATAGAAGACAGTGCCCGTGGTTAAGAGGTTGAGCAGTCCCTGATCACCTTTAGCCTCCCCGTTTTCTTTGTTGGTCCTTTCTTCCCCTTTTTCAACATATGTGATGGAAATTTGACCAAACTGGAGGATCCTACAGAAACAAAAATATAGTAAAACGTTGATTAAGTACACCTATCCTGACTGCTTAATTCTAAAAAGAACAGGGTGAAAATGTTGTTTATTTATTAAAGTGTGCAGCGTTTGGCTCATATGTGGAAAATCCAATTAATTCAAATAATTTCTATGACAATAGATGAGCAAAAATTATTCATAATCTATGCAGAAGGTAAAAAAAGAAAAAGAAAAATCGCATTTGGGGTTCCTCAAAGCTCCGATCTTAATCCACTTTTATTCAATACCTAAATATTCATTAGATTAGAGAATATTAATAAAAATTGCAATACATGCCAAGAGAAATGCAACTTTATCTTTATGTCTCACTGAATGATCCCAATTTTAATAGTCATTATTTGGGCTGAAACAATTGATTGGATTAACTATGATTTATATATTAGTATTTGATTTATTTAATAATATTAATCTAAAATAATTTAGTAATTGGTTATTCTTTAAGAGGAGCCTACAGGCTCTAAAATTTTATTTTCTGAAAGATTAACTAATTTAAAGCAAACATTAAGCCACAGCGATACAAAATATACATGCATTTTGCAGTTGAGATGAAAAAACTCTTGCTTGATCATAAGACCTCGAAAGGCTTGGCTTGGTTTTAGCTGCAAATTCTTCAAATTAAATTCCATTAAAAAAATACCCTATGAAGCACATTTTACTCTCTGATTAATCAGAAAAATATTTGACAGATTAAACAATAAGTAAAGTTATTTTAGGTGAAGCCCAAGTCTGTGTGTGTGTTGATAAAGTGGAGGATTGAGAAAGTCTGGGATTGATTTAGTCTTTGTTTTTCTCCAAAGATTGTTAAAAAGGTAAGAGATTAAGATTCAAGTAGACCAAATAACAACACCAAAAACAAATTCATAAACATAATTGTGAAAATAATGGAGAACCAGCATTTGAAAAACATTCACCAAAATGAATGTGATCAGAATCACAATCAGAACAGGAAGCATCCAAGGCACCTTTACAGGTAATAAAAAGAATCTTACTGTTGGTCTAAAAAGTCTATAGTGGTCTGGAGCCTGACTAGCCCTGTCAAAGGTCATCAATGGTTTCTCAGTGCTCCATGGAGAATAAATAAACAAGAGCTTAGACTTTTTATTTCTATTTTTATTTGTGCTCATTTCTGAAAATGAATCCCAGAAACCCAGAGAGAACACGAAGCTGTTGAACTGAAAATTCCCATCTGTCACTTATTAGCAGCTCAGCTTGGACCAAAGGAAGAGAAGCTATAATTACCTTTCCAAGAAAACTTCAACGAAGTTTTCAGTAACTTTGATTTCATCAGACACTTCAGCAGTTTCTCCTCCAACATTGAAATACCAGTGCAGTTTATTCTCCTTTAACGTCAATGCCATAAACTCCTTACTGGACTGGAGATACAACAGACAGGATAAACATTATAAGAGCAATATGATTTTATCCTCCTTATCTATAAAATATCTCTATTCATCTTACATTTTTGTTGCCGAGGAACAAGACAAGCTGTGCTGTTGAGCCATCAGTGGATCTCTTTTTCCGCTTGGCCTCTGGCAGCTTGATATCGAACTTCATGGAGGTGTAGGCAGCCAGGTCAGCCAGGTTAGGCGGCATACGAACTTCAACTGCAGACTTTCCATTGAATTTCATGGGCACGCTCACCTGGAGGGGTGAAACAAATTGTAGGTCAATAAACTTTTCACCAGGGCCTGCTTTAAATGCATCAATCATTTGAAAGCAGGAAAAAGTCTGCACCCTGTTGGCAGCGCTGCGCGCTTCCTGAATCAGCTGCCGGATCCGGTTAATGTTCTCAGAGATGTTTGGCATTTGGACGGTATAATTCTGCAGATCATCAAGTTTCTTCATCAGAGTCGGGATATCTTCTTCCAGCTTTTGAACTGTGAGGAATAAAAAAAGTAAAACAGTGATTTGAGTTTCTTATGTTTGAGTTTCAGAGTGAGACGCTTTTTCCTTTTAATAAAACTAAATCAGTGAATATAATATAGGTTGGATTTCCTTTATCTGCTTTGGTTTTATTTCTTTAATTAAATCATGTATCCTTATAGGTGTGATTACTAACAGAATCTAATGTAATTACTACAGTAGCAAAATGGCCCTTCCCAGTCAAATGCCAGCCAAATAATGCCCACTTCCCTGCAGTCCCCAGCAAAATCCCATCCAACTTCCAGCCAATGACCTTTTCCTGGGCATGCACATTTTTTTTTTTACTCTGACTCCAATCTTTCACTGAATTACAGGGTCTGACCAGGAGGTAAAGCTTCTCTTTAGATCTAAATGCCATGACAGAAAGAATATTTTAGCAGAAAGGAATTGTAGGGGACCAACCAGGAAAATTGAGAAATTTTGAATGGCTTCTGCTCTAGAGTCCTTCTAAGATGTAAATCTTGTAAGTTGGAAAGAATCTATCCCATTCTTTTCTATCGACTGTTCAATAAAAGCTCAAATATTTAGCATTCTGAATTAATGTTGAAAGATTTGAGACGACTGTAACTGATAAGATTTATAATACCTATAACCAGCTATAACCAGCTTATTGATTGCTACTTTTTGACGTCCACCATTTATGGAGCCCATAGAGGTTATAGGCTCCATAATGTTAGGAATCCGGTTTGTGTGGGTTGTGTTTTTTGTGTCTTTCTCTCCCTCCACCACCAGGTGGTGCCCTGTTCTCGTTGGTCCTCTCACACAACTACGGCTGGTTGACTCATCACTGAGGACTATTTGAGCCATGGACTGTCACTACCTCGGCGCCAGAGTGTTTGCTAGTTTTGGGTATTATAGCCAAGCTGAGCTTTGCTGAGTCTAACTGAGTCTTTGTTTTCACTGAGCCTAACCTTGTTTTTTTGTCTTTGCCTTTTCGGCAGGAAGTCATCCTGCAAGCTGGATGTTTGGCCTTCTTCCCCTGGAAAGATTGTTTGAGTCTCACACTGGGCAGGGGATTAACCTACACAAGTTCTGTTCAAGTCCTCCAGGATTTCGGAGTGACAGTCCGCTCAATAGCTCCTCAGGGTCCAACCAAGTCTAAACCTGTCCCCCCTCCAAGAGTCTCTTCCTCTGGATAAACCCACAACGACTGGATTCTTGCAAGAAAGTTTTCTTTTCTACCGTGAGTTCCGTTTTCTCTGTCTCTCCAAGTCATCGTTCTAAGTTCCCACGGATCCCTCTTCCAGTTCCGGTTCACCAATGAACCGAGTTTCCTGAATCCAACCCCCGCTGATCTTATCAATAAACCTGTTAAAACTTTACCCTGGTTCTCTGAGTGGTTTACTGCATGTGTGTCAGATCCCTTAAGAAAATCATGACACATAAATGCTCTCTTACTTTCTGGAATTTCTAATACATGCCTTTGAACGGCCTAAACCAAATATACTGCATTTATATAGAAAATAATTCATATTAATTTAACTAGACAAACTACATCAAGAAGGAAGGACCTAATGAGAGGACATAATGAGGAGAGAGCGTTATTCCCACCCGTTTCTGAGGCATTTATCAGGGCCTTGTTGATGTCATCGCTGCTGGAGTTGACGTTGCCGTAAGTTTGCTGCCATTTGTCCAGCTGCTCTTTCATTGTATCCAAGACGTCATTGACCTTGGTGGCCGTGCTGTTTGCTTCATTCGCCGCCATTTTCGCTTCATTGATCAGCTGGGTCGTATCTGCAAATCCAACAAAACAAAGGAGCTTCCAACGTCAGAATTACAAACAGCACAAGATGAAACTGAAGATCTATCACCAAACTGAAAAGTTACAAGAATGATTTAAAACTGAGTCGCTTGTTTTCACTCCTTTATAACTGATTGATTACTAACATACACAGCACAGTTTTTAGTAGAAATATCAGACTATTTCTGCACTTATTAAATGAAAACTTTTGGCTTTGTTAGCACCTTATCACACTTTTGTTTATCAGTATTGCATTTTATTGACCTATAAAGTCGTTTTTTTAAAAAGTCACCCACCAACACGTACAGCAGCATCGTAACAGTATGATTATATCACTTTTGATTGTTGGAAAAAACTGCAGTTATAATTTATGTCACATAAAAATTCTCTGAACCATCAAAGATTTAGGATTTAGGTCAATTTTTGCCATTTATTTTGAAATTCTGTGTGCTTTTGCCATTTTCTGCTCAATAATTGCTCAACAATTGCCATTACTGTATATTCTTAATATCTGCTAATGTTCTACTTCTTTGAAATTTAGCATATCTTACTCGTGACAGGAAGGATTTTATTTCTCCCTCAATGTTCTTTAGCAGACTTTGCACAGAGCCTTGTTATTTTTTATTCGATTACTAAAGGCCTGCCTTGTTTTGCTAATGTATTGGATCAAGCTGCTGTTGAGAGAATTTGTTTAGAGCATCATGTGCTGTAAATCTGACCGCAGCTCTTTTCTGTCAGGGAGCGATTGATGGGTGAGGTGATCAATCAATAGACAAACACAACTTTCCCATGCTCTATATTGTATTTTTTTTATTCAACTTTGATAGCTGTATTTTTATTATTTTGTCTGCAGCATGTGCACTATAAATTATATCTAAAGTGTTGACGATACTGATCTAATTTTGCATTAAAATCATGTAGCAGAACATATCAGGTGGTTTTAAGTTATTATGAATCAAACAAGATTTTTTTTAACACAAATATCCTGCATTTAGTAGCGCAGCAGGAGCATTGTGATTAATAGCCACCAAAAACCATGTCTGTGTGCAGTCTGGAACTGGATTGTGTGGTTGAACCATCAGCCAGTTTAAGCTCAGGAGAGGGTAGTGATGCTGAGGAATATGGAGGCCTCACACCTTACAGGTCAGAACTATCCAGAGTGGACCTGTAGCCTACAGAGTCAGACTCTGACTGAAACTGATGGCTAATATGACCGCAGCAGCCCTGGTAGTAAACACAGGGTGGGGAAACACTACTTGTTACGCCTCTGGTACAGATGGTATAACCAGTTATTAATGAATAAAACATAAAGTAGTATATAATACTTTAAATGAACATGACTTTCAACTAAATCCTCGCCTGCTGTAAAAGAGATGATCTACTATATTCTTAAAGGGGTCATAGAATGCAAAACTGAGTTTACATTGTCATAGAAGTATGACGATAGTTCAGTGGGGGAAATGTCGTTCTAACCTATATGTTGCTTCCGATTTCTCCTCCAGTCACTGAGCGGTTCTAGAGTCCTCTGAATGGTAGAGCTTTTTTTAATCCTATTTTACGGAAAAACTATTTTATGTGGGTGCCCTTGAAATTATTGCATTGATCATTGGTATTAACATTTTGGTCTACAAAAAAAATCATCAACACTTTAATGTTATCATTATATTTTTTTATCATTATTACTTATTTAATCATAACCGTTATTAAGTCCATTCTCAAACTGACAGTAAAACATGTAATCTTCTATGTGGAACTAACATGTTAGTAATTTGTTAGAGATCACCCACAACACGCCCACCTATTGCACACAAAAATATATTTAGCATGTGCAGTTTAGCAACCCTTTTTTGAATCTTTAAAATATCAGTTTCTAAGAGCCTAAATGTCTGGTTAGTCACAGGAGGAGTTATTTTTACCCGCTGTTCTACCATCTATAATCAAAGGAAGCCTGATTAAATGGTTGCAGTTTTACAAAGATACACTGATTTAACATGTCGAATGTGCGTACTTGATGTGAAGTTGAGGCTTTTCTGAATTGCTTCCAAATCCTTTAATGCTTGATCTTGCTTAGCTCTGGTTTCGTTCAGCCTTTTCTGAGCGTCGTCCAGCTCTGCCTTCAGGGCTGCAGGGCAGAAAAGCCAATTTTAAAAATTCAGATTCGGGAAACTGCTTTAAAAAGAAAGCGAAAGAGAAAGTGTATGTCTAAAACACAGCATTTACTATTGTTCAGTTCATCGTCCAGCTGTTTGACTTCATCAAGCAGGTCCATGCTGTGGTTCTTCAGAGCGCTTGCCATGTTTCCGAGGTCCTGGTTCTTTATATTCTAAAAGGATTCAGAGCAACACCAGATATGAACAAATAAAACCACTTACGCACTACCTAAAAGCAGGGTGAGTGTGGTATTTATTAATTTGCCTATTTCTGTTTAATTTAGTGAAGTGAGCCAAAAAAAGGTTTGTTTAAAATTAATTGAAATCAATTGTGTGTGTGGGTACTGCACCTGTAGGGTGTCATTGGCGGCCTTCTCAGCCATCCTCGCAGCCTCTTCTGCTGCACTGATCTTGTTGACAATGTTGTTGTAGGCTTTTGTTAAATCCACAGACGGATCCTTGTTGGTTTCTGAAACCAAACTGCAGTGGAAACACGTCGCAGATTAACCTCCTTTTATCGATCTCTGGAACTGTGTTCTATATCTAACAGGGCTGTACCAACTGGAGCCACTGAGGGTCCCTACCTGGTCAAGTTCATGGCTAACTCGTTCAGCAGCTCAGCGTGTTTCTCCGCCTTCTCCACTAGTGGGATTAGGTTGTTGGTTTCAGCGAAGGTCTGCACCTTCTTTGCCAAAGGCTGCCTGGCTCCATCCAGCTCCGCTGCCAGATGTTCGTACTCCTGAGGAATAAGAATAAAGCATCTGCTTTTAACAGCCCCACATCTATCAATGAACTGAAAGACTTTCATGGTTTATATGAAAATCTCTTTGATCCTCGGAGATCTTTAGCTGCAGAATGAATTTGCCTTCTTATTTAAAACTAACCGAACAAAACAAAGGAACCGACAATTCTTTTAAGACATTCATCAAAACAGGAAGGTCGGAGTTAATGTCTTCTTTGAGGCTCTAGTTTCTGTGCATCATGAAACATGAAGGTTTGGGTTATACGGGTAGAAATCTGAATATCTCAGAGCTACTTTTGAAATACAAAACTGTGCAACATAAGATGCATCTTGACTAAAAATAACAGATACATTCAAATCATGGGATGTTTATTTTTCTGTAGTTCTCTTTGTTCTAACCGTTTTGGACTCCTGCAGCATCTGAGCCAGCATGTTGAGTTGAGTGACGTCAGCGACGGCCATGTCCATGGTGTCATTCACCTCCTTCTGCTTCATTAGCAAGTCTTCAGCCTTCCTCTGAGAGAAACAGAACACAGCAGTCATCAGACACACTCACAAACCTTTGTTTTTGTGGCTTTGGAGAACTTCTCACCTTGTTTTCCTCCAGAGTTTTCTCATTGACACTGTTGAGTTCTGCAGCTCTGGCGGTGTTGTTCACAGCCTCGTTCAGAGCGTCTCGCAGGTCTTTTATGTCAGAGAGGAAACGGAGCAGGCGGTCCATGATGGCCTTGGATGAATTGAGGTTTTCCTCCTGATGGTTTACCAGCTCCTTGTTAACACCATCCAACACTGACAGATTCAGAGAAATACGTTAGAAGTTATTATAATTTCACCCATTATATGCTGATTTGGCTCAAAATGACACCATGTTATTTCAGCCATATTTCTCATCACACTTTATAAATCTATAAATCCTGCACACAAAGAAAGTCATAAAATAGCACAAAGATAACAGGAATTAATCAGAAACAATAATGAATCAAAGCACCACATTCTAGCAATTCAAGTCTTTGCTTTAGTGATTGGAAGCCTAGAATACGAACTTACACTTCTCTGCTTCGCTCTTCTCTTTGTCGGCCATTTTCTTTTGACCCACACAGCTCCTGTACCTCATCTCCCTCAGCATGGCCTGAACCTCCTCGATCTTCCTCTGCTGCTCCTCCCCATCCTGTTCACCGTCTGTTTCATTCAGGGACTGGTTTGCCATGCGCAGCAGCGCTGCAGAACGAAGGAAGCAATGCCAAACAATTGCCTGTTTGTAACTAGCCTGTGGTTGATAGGCGAACAGGTGTACAAAGGTGCATCTCTGATCTCTCTCACCGTTTATGTCTATGGTGATGTTGTTAATGAATTTCAGCAGATCTTCTGCCCTCTGGTGTGTGTCGGAGGTACTGTTATCTACTTCACCAACCCTGTCTGTCATTACTTCAGACTGAAAGGAAACAACATTCAACTTTCACAATGTCTCAGTGATAAAAAAGGAACACTTGATTAACTATTAGGTTAGAGTAACCTAAAGGAGCATTTATTCGAACCTATGATAGACATAGCTAGTCATTTCAATTGATTTTAAGGTGAAATATACTAAGAAATCCAATTATCTGAGGAAAGCAGGGATATGGTGCTGTTTATTCTTAGAAACTTACAACAAGAATGGTTATTAAAACCTGGTTTAACTGATCAAGTTGTCTTCAGAAACACAGCCTCTATTGTTAAACGTACTAGACAAGACAAAGACATCTTATAAATACAGACTGGAAGAACCAATTACTCTAAATAAGTCATTTTTTCCTAAAATAAGTGCAGTTTTTATTGAATTGAGGATGTAAGTGAGACACTGCCAATGGAAGAAGACAATCTAAATATAAAATAAAAAAAAAACTACTGCATTGCCTTATTTCAAGTCCATATCATCTTTCACTCTTAGTTTAAGAGTGAAAGCACTCATTCCATTGGCAAATAGTCTTATTAAACTACTAAAATAAATTTTTTTAAATGAATTTATTTAGTTACATCCTTAGAACATCCTTAGAACATATTCATTTATTGTCCCATGTCCCAAATGGGAAATGCATTTGACTATCCCCAATTGTGCGGCTCTCTTGGAGCAGTGTGGGGTTGAGTTTTTATTTTTTTTTTTGTTTTTAACGGCACCAGTGGCTCGTTTTTCTGACAGTAGGCTGACAAGAAAGGGGGTGAGACATGCGGCAAAGGACCACAGGCCAGAGTCAAACCCCAGGACCAAGGCTTCCGTACATGTGTTGTGCGCACTAACCACTGCTCCACCTGCACGCCCTATGGGGTTAAGGGTTTTGCTCAGGAACACAGAGTGCTGGCTGTGGAGATTAGATCAGGTACTTGCAACTAGTGTTACACCAATGCCATTTTTTTGGCCCCGATACCTGATACCTGGCTGTGCAGTATCGGCCGATACTGATAGCATATTGATACCATCTGTTTGAAATTGATGTGTGTGTGTATAAATGGAGAACAGCATAATACTTCGATGGAAAATAATTGCCATCATGGTTTTGTCAGACTGCTGCCTACCTTTGTGAAGCAGGAAAAAGACTAATACAGAGTGTAGAACCAGTAGAACTTTTTTTTGCCTACCTGGAATGGGTGACAATAGTTGAATAAACTTTTGGCTCTCAAAATGGTATCGGCGCCCTATTTGTCGGTACTCGCCGATATCGATACCACCATTTTAGTGCAGTATGAGGGCCCTGCTCGATACTGGTATCGGTGGAACACTACTTGCAACCTTCTCCGAGAACAAGCACACTGCTCTAACCACTAGGCCAACACTACCCCTAATTAAGTAATTATTAAGCTAATAAATTAAGGGTAAATACACTTAGAAAGCGGAGTGAATGAAGAAGGTGAGAGCAGAACATTTGGTAATGATCCAGATCATGTGAGTTTTAGCAATAGGTGAACAGTAAGGCAAAATATGGGGCAAATGTGCTGCTTGGGGGAGCTCTGCGCTCTCTGAGTGCTTTTCTAGTTATTTATATCATTACCTTTATTCCCCTGCAATGGACATTACTCTCTGTTTTCCTTTCATGTTTCTTTTTTCATGCACAAGACTTTGAATTGTCTCGTTACTGTAATATGCTATATTAAAATGCTACATAAACAGCAATTTCCCCATTGTGGGACAAGAAAGGGCTTTTTTTTCTATTCTATTCTGTTTTATAAATAAACTTAGCTTAGCCTTACAGAGGCTTTGCTAACATCCTAAAACTCTAAGTTATCTAGATTGTAATTTAACATGAGATTGATTAATTGTGCTTCAATAGGTTAATATTCAGGCACTGAGTGTGTTTAGTCCAGACCTTTCTGCGCAGCTCATCGATATCAGTACCGATGTTGTTTATGTCTATGTCCAGCATGTCGAGCTGATTCCTGCTTGTATCCAGCGTGTTGTTGTAGTTCTCGATGGCTCGCTGGAATCAAAAATGTTTCAATTAAACTCTGAGTTTACATAAGTCTGCTATTCAGTTTGAGAACCAATCTTTCATTGACAGAAAGTGAGAAAGAAATAGAGCTAAATCCAAAGAATATGTAAAAAAAATCTGAAAACAGGAAATGCAACTAATCTGGGAATTATAATTTTGGATGTGCATTTGATCATGGTTCGGCCCTTATATTACAGATGGACCATTTAAACAGTGGATGTTGAAAGGACTTTCCACTTTTTATACACTAACATATAGGGATGCACGATATTGGGATTTTGGCCGATATCCGATATGCCGATATTTTAAAACTCATGTAGCCGATAACCGATATCAATTCCGATGTTAAAGCTGAACAAAAATAAGTAGTCATTGAAAATAGCAGTTTTGTTATCCATTTCTGACACTTTGAAAAATAATATACTCAAATATATTTTCATATGCTGATATCAAATATATTTTTAAAAACGCGGTATCGATCTATTCTACTTTCAAAATCTCGTGAAATTTCATCGTTCTGTTACAAACTCTCGAGATATTTTGCAAATTCTTGTGAGATTTTGTTAGTAAATTAGATCGATACCGCGTCAATATATCAACATATAAAAATATGGCAACATTTTGTGAATTTTCGGGGGATTTCGTAGCATAACGATGACATATAGCAATATTTCATTAGTAAAAGAGATTGATATGGTGTTTTTAAATGGAAATATATCAGCATATGAAGATATTGTGATATTTTAATGTATCAATATTTTTTCCCTCGTCTTTAGAAGTTTTTAAGTCTGTAAAAAAGAAGTCTTTGAGGAAGAAGTATTTATTTATTTTTTTTAGATTTTAGAAACTCAGAAGCTGATCAAATATCGGGTTAAATATCGGTGGGGTGGCCGATGTCCGATATTCATTTTTAAGGCCGATACCGATAGGGGGCCGATTATATCGTGCATCCCTACTAACATAGAATGGAAACGAAAGATTTTGTCAGTTTAAAGACAAATTATCACATTAATAGCTCAGTCTTCTTTAGAAATCTTCAAATGTGGAACTATTCCCAACAAAATATTATTAGTGTAACATATTAATGATGCAATATTTAATATTGACTTAATGGGCTTCTGAAAAATAACTTGATTAAAGGTGCAGTAAGTAAAATATAAAAAGGTTTTCTGTCTAAAAGTCTCACTCTGCAACGTATGTTGAAGAGAAATGGAAAAGGTGACTGTATTTCCTTTCAGCTTAATTCCTGAACAGTTTATCATCCTATTTCACACAGACATGCTGTTCACGTTTGGACTCACAGCGACGTCCTCTATAGATTTGTTGAGGCTGTCGAGCTGAGCCCAAGCCATGGAGCTGGCGTTGAGGTTCCTCAGCTGCCGGGCGACGGCAGTAAAGTTGTCGTTCAGCGTATCCAGTTCGTCCAGCAGCACCATGACGCAGCTGTCGCACGCTGAGGGTTCAAACATAAACATGCACAGGATGCTCTCCGTCAGTGTCTGATCCTCATCATGTGGATATGCACCTGGTTTACTTACGTTCGCAGTGCGTGCCGCCATCTACTGGAACGCTGTATTTCTGCAAGCAGATGTCACACTGTTTTCCTGTCATCCCGTCTGGACAACGGCACTCCCCTGTCCGGGGGTCACAGCGGCCTCCGTTACAATCACACTCTGAAACGGTTAACAGAGGCGTTTAAGATCTAATGCAGAAACATATGTTCCCTTAAGGAGAGGGTGTCCGGCAAAGTTCGGACATCTGGACCCACTTTGGATTTTAGATCTTTACGGGAAAGTATGGAGCAAATTAAAAAGCTAAAATACACTTCATAAAAAGAAACACCATTATTAGGGTCCAGATTGCTCTTAAAGGAGCGGTGTGGTCTATAGGCTGAATAATGGCTGCAGATGTTACACCAAACATCCAGACAATAACTTAAAGGTGTTGAAATAATTCATTAAGTGTGGCTCAGAGGAACGAACCACAAAGGGTCATTATTGCAGCCTGATAGATCGGACTGCTTCAAAAAAGCCCACAGCATCATGAGGGACATTTTTCAGCCAGATGAGAATCTGTTTGAGCTGTTCATTGTCAGGCAGACAACAAAGTTACGTTTAAACAAGGACAAAACAACTCAACATCAGTTTGTATCCAAATGCAACAGCTAAACACAAAACAGACGAAATGTAAACAATTTCTGTAGTTTTTGATTTGATATAAAGTGGAGTTCCAATAAAATGTTGAGAAAAGGGTGAAATAGTCCAATTGGCTGTTATGATACAATCACAGACGTGAATAGGGCTGGGTATTTTCGCCAAAGTCCTGAATCGATTCGATTTTGATAAATATAGTTCTAAATCTATTAATTTCGATTCAATCGGTTTTTACAATAATGAAAGTGGTTCAACTGTGTTTTAAAATTCTCATGTATTTTATTTTTTCCTGTCACATTAAACACAAAGTGCAAACTTGAAATCAGACAGTTCAAACTTGAGATGTGAACAAAAATGTCTCATAAGTGCAAACTTGTTTGTGAAAAGTGAAAAAGTGAAGCCTCACTCGAGCAAGCAGACGCGACACAGCAGACATGCATGAGCTGCATTATCTCCACTGTACAAACCATATTTGCAGCATTGGCTGTGAAAACTACAGGGTGTTTTCTGGTCAGCACCCATTTGTTAATGTCTTCAGTCAACCTATTGGCTATATTTGCAGCTGTCTGGCTTGAAGTCATCGTGAGTGCATCTTTCCTGCTCATTTGAATGTACATCACTATAAAACTAATCGCTCTAATTCCCTTGACATCGATTTTGCAAAAATGGAGAGGAATCGATTCCAACTTCATTAAATAGATTTTTTTTTTTTACCCAACCCTAGTCGTGAACAGTGATGTAACACGAGCCTAGTCATAGTTGTGTGGGCACTCACTCTTGCAGCCGTCAGGTCCATAGTCCCAGAATCCAGGAGCGCACTGTTTACAGTTTGGTCCGTTGACTCCTGGCTGGCAGGTGCACTGGCCGTTCTGAGGATCGCACGGCACAACCAGGGCTGCTGAGGCATCACACTCACACTGACGACAGCCAGAGCATGAGCTGAAGCCAAACGATCCATCCTTAGAACGACAGAGGCAGATGAAAGCGAGATGGAAAGGTAAGCTTCTATTGGCTGAAGGGTTTGAGGCATATAATGGGTACTGTTTATACATCTTTTTTTTATTAAACAATAATAACAATTAGGGAAAAGTAGCCAAACTTATAGAGCAAACAGATGATAAAGTGTAAAATCTGTAAAAAAAAAAAAACTAAAAAACCTCAAAACTCCTGCAAAATATTCCTACCTGACAATGGTCACAGAGCGGTCCAGTGACTCCTGGCTTACAGTGACACTGTCCTGTGTGAGGGTCACAGGATTCGGTTCCACATGGAGAACAGCTGCATTCTGGGTAACAGAACCATAACATAAAACACTTCAGCAAAAATACACTGTTATAAGTAATCAGTGTGGAGTTTCATAATTCAGCCATACATTATTCGTTGTTTAAATGGTTCCCTGAAGGTTACGGGTTAATAGACTGACTTGTCATTTTTCATACCCTTAAATGTTTATACATAGTAATGGCTTACGTTTTGGGTTTTGTGATCAACATTTTTCCCTATTTGTGTTCAGCTTACAGTTTGTCAGCCTGTGAAAATTTCCACCCATGTTTTTGTGCCCACATCCACAGTGAGAACATCAAAAAGTGGCCTTTTGGTCTGTTTTCCTTTCATGTTTCTTTTTTCACGCACAAGACTTTGAATTGTCTTGTTACTGAAATATGCTATATTAAAATGCTATATAAACAGCAATTTCCCCATTGTGGGACAATAAAGGGCTTTTTTTATTTAATTCTATTCTATTCTTTAAATAAACTTAGCTTAGCCTTACAGAGGCTTTGCTTTTGGTCTGTTTTCAGCCTGCTTCTAATTAAATCCCTGCAGAGCGCAGAGTCCACAACCAAACTAGAGTTTATAATCTATTTTATTTTAGCTCAGATTTCTTCGTAAAACTGAAAATTAAGGGTTTCTTTGACCGGAGATATGCACAGCAACAGAAACACCAAACACCAAAAGTGTCTTTGTTACAATTTATAGATTTGCACAGGTTGTCTTTCTGCGTATCCCCCTCAAAGAAGCAGGGAGCTATGGAGCTAAATTGAGGCCATGAAGATTGTTCAAATGGTAAATTTGAAACCTAAGAAAAAAAGATCCTAAAAAATTATTTTGATCCCCCCCATAAAAAAGAAAAAAAAAAAAATTTTGCAACTCCAAATAAAATTGGGTAGGGTCCCTGAAGGCATCACCTGGAGTATGTTGTTCAGCCACTGTGTTAAGCTCTCATTCATGATCCCACAGTCCTGTGATCTGACGCAAAGACCCAAATACCAAAACAGGGACAGAAGTTTAAAACTAGAAAAATAAAATCTACATCTGGAAGAAAATAAAACCTTTAATTTGAAAAGCGGCTCTGATCTTTTTCTTCCAGTTTCATTTTTTTTTTTTTGTCGCAAAACAATTTTTGTATGTTTCTATCTCATTGGATGCTTAAAAAAAACAAAACAATTATTTTAAAATAATAATTTTCATGTTAAAATTTGTCTCTTTTGAACAAACTGTATGGCCCGAATAATGCTCTACAGAAATCCCCATAAAAACTATAAACTTTTGTTTTCTGCAGTCCTTGTTGTTCATATCAATCAGTCATGAAATAGAAAGAGATGTGTGTCTTATTTGGAATAATTTATTTTCATTTATTGTACCATGCTCACACTAAAGCCATGTTGTTCTGAAGCTCAACTTACTGGTACAGTTTTTGGCATGTATAGCGTCTCCATAGTAACCAGGAGAACAGATGTCACAGTCAGGTCCTGCCGTGTTGTCCATGCAGTTGAGGCATTGTCCAGTCAGGGGGTGACAGTCGGTGAACAGCATGTTAGGGTCTGTGTTACCATTGCAATTGCACGGCTGACAACTGCTGCCGAAAACCATGGGGTTACCGTAGAAACCAGGGGCACACCTGCATAAAAGGGAACAAAGAAAACGGCATCAGAGAGTTGAATCTAGGGAGTATTTTCAAGCTGCTTTAAGAAGATGTGATCACCTTTCACAGTTTGGTCCAGCATAGCCATGCATACACAGACACTGCATCCTGTCCCCCTCTCGGCACGCAGCCTTCTGCAAAGCTATGGACGCATAAAACATGAGTTCCAGGAAAACTCATTATCAAGTGAATAAAAAAGTGCATCTAAGGGAAGCTTAAAAAGCACAGACTTGTTGGACGGGGCCCTGAGAGGGCAGGGGCAGCTGGAGCAGGAAACGGACTGTCCGTCCAGACTGTTGTTGCTAAGGAAACCTCCCATGCAGCTCTTGCAATGGTCCCCCACAGTATTGTGCTGGCAATTCTGAAAAACACATTGAGTGCAGTGTAGAGTCTAAAACATGAACAAGCTCTACAGAGCTGTGAAAAACTCGGTGTCAGGTAAAAGGCTCACCAGACAGACTCCAGATCCATCCAAACAATGGTCCGAGTGTCCATTACAGTTACAGGGAACACATTTCCCAAGGAACAGTCCGATGGTGTCCCTGTAGTGACCCGGAGCACATTTCTGCAGAGAGAAAGAAAATCAAACTTCACTGAGAGCGTGAAGGAAAGCTGCTTAGAATTATAACTATTTGGTACGAGTTAGAAACTGTCAATTAAGAGACAATCCCGCCACATGTAGGTGGATTCTATTTTGATGTCTCCAAATTTGACTAGAATTGTTTTTCGACTTAAGAGTCCAGAAGTCCGTAAATGCTTTCATGGAACAATATTAAAAAGAAAGAAAACCACCTTTCAACATTTAACTCACTGAGGGGGAAAAAAATGAAATGTCTTTTAGGGCAATATAGGAGAGGTAAATAAAACATGTTTTAGATAGATGAAAGACAAATGCTTGATTTAATTTGGTCAAAACAAGGTCAGAACTGAAAAAAAGGGGTGCAGATAAAAAAATAAATAAATAAAAAAACAGTCTGATTCCAGCAAGTGTGATGAAATATTTAGAGAAAATACAGGAAATAGGACATCCATTTCTCCCAAAATAAAAAAAGACAAGCGTATACCTGTTTGAAAAAGTACTGACCACTTTTAAAAGATAAAAAGTACTAAAATAGGCTGAACAGAGGAGAGCAAAGTAGAGCTGATTGATTAAAATGCTAAGCAGCGTCAATCTTTTTAACCTTTCCCTACCTGACAAGAGTCTCCTAAGTAGTTAGCCGGACACATGCAGATCTCCACATTGTTTGCATGTCGTCCTGTGGTCAGGTCGGCTGCACCCTCTAACACGGCACCGCGGAGCGACACGGAGTGGGCCGACTGGGAGTGAAGGGCTCGGATTTGCAGAGACTCCAAGTTGACCAAAACCATCATCAACTCCTCCCGTGACACAGAGTTTCCGGTCCGAGCGTGACGGAAGCTTCCCTGCAATGACAAGGAAAATTTCATATATTAATATTTATTGAAGATTTGTTTTAGCTAAGGTGATCCTTATCACAGTTTTAACAGACTTCAAGTTGGCAATGGTCAAAATAGATCCTAACATACTGATCAACAGAGTTAAATAGTGAGCAGAGAATTGAGGACAAATCTTACCCTATTTCATTTATCAATTGTAAGTAAGTCAAAAATATCCCATGCAGGGTCCCTCAGGGCTTCATTCTGGGTCCCCTTTTATTAAAAAACTACTATCATTTGCTCAGACCAAAATCTTAACAAGCATATAATCTTGTCCCTAATTCAGCCAAATAGCATCTTAAACATACAAGAATAAAAAAACTTCTAGTCAGAAAAATCAGGAAACATTTTTTTTTGTACATGCTCCAAACTGTTACAGGTTTAAAGAAGTGAAGAAAATCTCTGCACTACCTCCTTGTTTGGGAAAGTGTAATTTTTCCAAAAGGCATTAAATGTTCTTTGGGGTAAATGCATGTCAGGTATGAAAAATGTAAGATAGGTTGTTTAGTTCCCATGCTACTCTGTTCAGAAACGAATTCATGAAAAACTGATATTTAGAAACTATTAAATCAGGACTAAAGCCATTGTTTACCACAACTATGTAACAAACACAAAAAGCTTTAGTTGTAAGTTTATGCTTTTTTTTTATGTTTATTTTTCTCCATTTTATGTAGCATCCATCAAAGTAACTTTACCTCAACTATGTGAACAATTCCCAGGTGAGGGTCTTCAGGTGCTGAGTATTCTCTCTCCATAAATACCAGGGTCATCTGGTTCCCCTGCAGGAAAAAAAAAGCACTAATGGAGGTTGCAAACATGCCAAGAGTCAGATTATGGACTCTGAGACAGGATAAACAGTCTATCAATGTACAGTTTGGTGTAACTGGTGTTGGTGTTTGGCACCTTTAGAATAATGTCGGGTCTGGAGGCTTCGGCCGGCAGAGGTAGAGCGTCGCCTCTCATGGTCTGAGTGTGAAGACGGTACCGCAAGGATCCGCCGTACGAAGAGACCTGGAGGAACCAGCAGTGGAGTGAGTGAGACAAACAGATCCAAACTCTGCTCAGCTAAAATGTTTAGTCAGTTTCAGAATCCAGTTTTTTTTTTAAACTTCTCTCTTCCTGCTGAGATTTTCTAGTCTAATAAAAATGCTTTACATTCTTTCCTAAGCTCATCTCCTACCTTGTCTCCCAGGTATGTCTTCGGTGCATGCCAGTGCAGGTCCTGGTAGACATCAGGCACGTCGCTGAGGTCAGCTTCTACAAGATCCTGATCAGGATACACCGTGACCGGGACTTCCTGTCGGTCCGCTCCAAGGAGCACCCAGCCTTCCATGTCCATGATCTGCAAGAAAGGAAAATAATGACATTAAAAAGCCATCTAAGAAGAAGAAGAAAGAAGGTGTGGGAAAGTTAGCCGACAGTCAGGCAAGCATTTCAAGAATTAAATCCTAAGGTTTTATATTAATTTGACTAAAACACATCCATATTGCCTTAAATGAGCAATAGTAAACAAAAAAAAAACTAAGATCCAAACGTGGCAATAGGCTTTTAATTCTTTTCCATTGTCAGCCTTGAGGTGAACGCTGGAAAATATTGCATCTTCATGTTGGAGCACATCGACTAACTGGGGAAGCAGGTTCATAAATCTTAACGCTGACAGAACAGACATTTTAGTATCTCTGTTTGATACAAAGAACATGACATTCGATTGGAAAATACCCACAGACTGCTGTTTCAGTGGATCTTGGAACACGCATCAGAACAATAACTTCACATAAATCTTTAGAACCGTGAGCACCTCTATCCGTCTCTTGTCCGAGCTGTGACACCGGTCCGTGGCCCCGAAGCAGAAGCAGCTGGTGCATCCTTTGGGGTTGGTTGGGTCCAGGTGGAAAGTACCTATCCTGCACTGATCGCAGCGGGAGCCCTGGACGTTTTCCTGCAGGTGGAAGGTGAACACACACACACAGCCTGAGGTGAGCCACTCACAGTGGAGCAGGTGTCTGAAATGGGTGTGTTTTTGTGTGCATCTCCAACCTTGCAGAGACACATTCCTGTAAAGGAGTCGCACACTTCCTCCTCGGTTCCCGCTTCGTTGCAGTCGCACGGCCTGCAGTTGGGGTAACCATAGAAACCAGGCGCGCAGCGGTCACACTGACGACCAACAACGTTGTTCCTGCACCTGGAAACACAGCAAGTTGGTTAGTATTTCAGTCAACATAGTGAGTGATGCTGTTTTGCCAACCTGGTTTCTGTGAGCTCTCTTGGAGTCTTCTAAAATGATTTCCTTATCATTAAGACCATAGGTGAAGGCGGTGTTATGGTTTGGACAAAAAAGACATGGAAATTGTTCCACATTAAGAATAGGGGTTTCTGTGTTTGTGTTTTTTTTTTCCAGATGAAGGAATCTGGATTTACTGATGTCTTCAGGCAGAGCGCATTCAAGCTTTCCAGCCTCCTCATGTTTGGACTGAGATACATTCCTTTTTCTGCACATTTAAACGTCAAGACTGAAGTTGATTTAAATTGAGCAAGTGAGGTGTTAACTGACCCCAGCATAAGATTTGAGTAAATGAGAAATGGATGCAATAGGAATTAGAGTTTCATATCTGAAAAAAAGCAATAACAACTTAAACTGCAGCAAATCAGGAATAAAATGATCTAGAAAGGTAACAGATTCAGCAGGTACTGGTTCGATATCAACTAGGGCTGGGTGATAAACAATATAATTTTTTATAATAATAATATTATAAAAACCAAGCAAAAACAAGCAAATCAAAATGGCGGCGCCCGTAACATTCACTGGAAAAAATCGAAATCTAGATAAGTAATTTTTTCTTAAGTGCATTTGTTCTTGGATTGAGGAAGTAAAGGAGACATTTTGCCAATGGAACAAGAAAATATACACTTAGAATAAGAAAACACAATTGCATTGTCTTATTTCCTGCGCATATTATCTAATCATCTTATTGTAAGAGTAAAAATACTCATTCCACTAGCAAACTATCTCATTTACCTAATTAAAATTAAGGGTAAATACCCTCAAATTAAGAAATTTTTACTTATTTCTAGATTGTTTTTCCAGTGCTGCTGCTGCTGTAATACATATGCTGCATCCTTCTGTCGTGTGAAGAGAGAGCGGAGTGAAAAGCCAGAGCTCTTGATTTACCGCTTGGTCTAAGTTCCTAACTTCATCGAAGGTCATGAAAGCTGGATCATGTCCGAAAGAATGAGATCCCAGATACAAGCTAATGAAATTGGCTTTGTCAGCAGGGTGGCGGGGCTCTCCCTTAGAGATAGGGTGAGGAACTTGGTAATACTGGACGGGCTCAGAGTAGAGCTGGTTCTCCTCAACATCGAAAGGAGTCAGCTGAGGAAGCTCAGACATCTTTTTCTGCTGTCCCCTGGAGGCCTCCCTATGGAGGTGTTTCACCGGAACATTTCAGCTTGAGTTTGCATTATTGTTGAGTATTTACCAGATTTAGATGGTAGGGACTAAAAACATGATGAATTCAAAACAGGAAGAAATTCACTCTTAGTTCCACGATGCTCCTTATCAATAGTGCACAAATATAAAAAACAAAGTAAAATTTTATGTCATTATCTCAACCAATATATTTAGGGGCAATGTATACAATAATTCTTGAATACACAGTAAAAGTGGCAAAACAAAAGATTTGGTAGATTTAAACACTTTAAAAACCCACAAGGCGTGACGATAAATTACCAACAATGTTTCATCACAATTAAGACTTACTGTTTTGATTTGATCATAACTTGTTGTAAACCAGCTGCAATCTAAACCATTATGATGTAAAAGAAGTGGAAAGAATAAGCGAGTCACATTGCCAAGTTGGACACGAATCAGGAAGGACAATGGCCCCCTAAAAAATTGTGATTAATATATATTAATCATTAATCAGAGCAAAGTCTCTGAGGCCAAAACAGAGGTATGAAAGGTCTGGAGTTTGGTTAGAAACTGGTGTATGAGAAACTGTTTATATCTGTCATTCCGCAAAAGTTTAAAAAACAATCCACTGGACTTGGTTTCCAAGATTTGAAGAAGTTTGAAACCGGTTTCAATTTGCATGTTTCTAAGCAATACAAGGCCTTGTCTATATAAAGACTCAAACTCACTGCGGATCCAGACATGTGAATTGAGAAGGCTTCCAGGAGGGGAAGCAAAACGTCTTCAAATCTAGGAAACCAAGTCCAGTGGATTGTTTTTTAAACTTTTACGGAATGACTATGACCTGGATGACTGGGAATCTTCATCAGCATATTTATATCTGTCAGATTCGAAGCCATTTCAGAAAAAAAAGAACCAAGATGCAGTAAACAGGAAACCTGAACTCAGAAACTGTGGTTTTACTTGGTACCTGCACTGTCCACTGTCCGTGTCACAGCTCACGTCAGGAGACACAACGCCGGGCCGAGAGCAGTTGCAGACCTCACAGCCAACCACCGGGTGGCAGCCAAAGGTCTGCGGCTCACATTGGATGCACTCAGGGCGTAGAGTCCTTGGTGGACAGATGCAATCCCCCGTCACAGGCTCACATAATCTCGTACCACAGTTACAGGCTGCAGCGGGAACAGGAGGAAAGAAGTCAGACACAGGAAGAAGTCTCCAACAGATATCATATGGATTATTTTATGATAAAAAACGATAGACATGGAATTCATCAATCCATCCATTTTCTAAGTCTTTGTCAGGGTCGTGAAGGGACCAGTGTCTATCTCCTGCAGTCTATGGGCAAGAGGTGGGGTCACTTAACCTAACAGTCATATTTTTGGAGAATGGGAGGAAACCGGAGTATCAGGAGAGAACCCACGCATGCATTGGGAGAACATGCCAACTCCATGCAGAAAGACCCTGGGCCGGGAATTAAACCTAGAACCTTATTGCTGCAAGGCTACATCGTTATCCACTGCACAACCATGCAGCTGTAGACATGGAATTCACAAAACAAAATACTTTACAGGTATATTATTCTTATTTATTTACCAAAAATTTATTTTTGTTATGATCTGCCACACCACCCTCATCAGTAGGCTTTCTTCCATTCGCATCAATCACACTCCACTGGACTGGTTTACTTCCTACTTCTCTGGCTGCACTCAGTTCATTCAACTGTAGACCATCAAATGCACTCCCTCCCTCATCACCTCAGGTGTGCCCCAGGCCTCTGTCCTGTGGCCCCTCCTCTTCATCATCTACCTCCTTCCCCTTGGCAATATCTTCTGCTAATTTAACATCCAATTCTACTGCTATGCCGATGACACCTAGCTATACCTCACCACAAAACTATCGTCCTGTCTTCTGCCGGCCTTCCTCACAGAATGCATCTCTGAAAATCTCATGGTGACATTCAAGGCCCTTCACCACGTTGCCCCCCCAAGATCTGTCGGGCCTCCTGCATGTTCCCACCCCCCTCTGTGCTCTCAGATCATCATCTGTCCCTTCTGCCCATCTCACCACCATGGGGGGCAGAGCATTTAGCCGCTCTGCCCCCCGCCACTGGAACTCTCTACCAACACTACTTAGAAATACGGACTCACTTCTCCATTTCAAATCCCGACTCAAAACTCATCTGTTTAGGCCTATTCTCTTTAATATCAAATTCCCTGTCCCAGTCTTTGTATTTTTTTAAATGATTTATATTGTGTTTTTTTTTGTCTTTGTTTCTGCCATTGTGTTTTTATCTTTTGTATGATGACCTTGAGTGTCCAGAACAGTGCCTTTTAAATAAGTTGTATTATTATTATTATTATTATTATTATTAATAAAAAAGACTGTTACATTGTTATATTTTTAAAGGAGAGAGTAGACAAAGATCCTGAGCTAAAATAAGATAAAACTGATTTGAAGTTTCATTTGCTTCAGGTCAAACAACAGTAAGAGAAAAACTTGATGGCAAACCTACAGAATGTAAAAATTGGAAATATTTTCAGATAAAAACTGGTTTTAAAGGTTTTAAAGCAGTTTTAATCACAAGTTATCTGAATGTTTCGGTTGTGTTCAATCTACAAAGCGATGTCATTACTTTTGGTTGAAGATAATAGCAGGAAACTCATAAACTGTGCCAACGTGAAAACCATAACAGGCATCAAAGTTCTGATTCAGCCTGACAAAATCCAACTATGAATGATGTTTCTACTATAAAGGACTTTCACAGTCATTTTGAAAAACATATAATATAAAAAGTATTTTTTTTCCTTTCTGTTTGAATCTACATTTTTTTTTTCTTTTTTACATAGCAATTGTGCTCTTTAATTATGGCCCCGTCCACACGAAGTCAAAACGAACACGAAACGCTGATATTTTCCAAAACGTTTGCCGTAAAGACGGAGACGTAAAATAAATGTGAGCGTCCACACGAATGCATGAAAACGCTGCAAAATGTATGCCAGGCCTGTAAGTGGCGCTGTGGTGCCAAAGCAAAAATAAGCGACGAAATGTTGGGCATGCGCACTAATATTTATACATGGTTGCCCTGCGAGTCCATTTTCGTGGTTAAGTCAAATTCAGGTGCTGAACTATGTCGTCGATATTGCTCTGTTCTTCCTGGAGATATTCCAGAAGAAGAGGATTCTGTTGTAAGCCCGACAGCAGGGTGAGTAGCATTAGCAGCAACGGCGCCATTGTTGTTGTGATACTGGTCGCGCATGCGTGTTTAGAGGCGACGCTATGACGCATGCGTGTAAAAAAAAATATGCGGTTAGAGCGTAAAGATGGAAACGCGAAAACGGCGTTTCGAAATCTTCCCACTCTGAAGGCTGAATAAAAAAAAGATCGTTTACAGACCCCCGAAACGCCGGCTTCGTGTGGATGAGAGGCTGGTTTGGTGAAAAATTTGTGCGTTTAGGCCAGGGTTCGTCTTCGTGTGGACGGGGCCTATAATTCCTATGCGTATCGTATTTCTGAAACAAATCCCATGCAGTGGTCTATATCTGCCACCAAAGTGTTGTATAAGTTTAGTATAAACTCACGTCTGCAGTGAGGAAATCCCCAGTAGCCAGTGGCGCACATGGAGCAGTCTCGTCCAATCACGTTGGGCCTACACTGGCACTGGCCGCCGAATAGCTCGCAGGTGTCGCTTTCGGCTCCCGCCTCATGACAAGCGCAGGGCATTGCCCCGTTGTTGAAAAAGGCCGACAGCGATACTGCCGAGCTGAGGCAGAACGGGGAAGCAGTGGAGGGGCTGAGGAGATGAACAGATTGCAAACCTTTACCGCCTCAGCTCAGCCATCCCTCACATGTTTTCGTTTAAAAGGTGCTTTAAGGTACTGACTTGATATAGAAGCTGTTTTGGCCACAGTGGCTGATGAAGTCGTATGATTTGTCCAGAGGCTCCTCGTTCAGGTAGCTGGATTTGAAGCTTTTCTCTGGAACCACAAGTACGTAGTCCTGTTGGGACATGAAACACAGGATCAAATCATGTCTTCTAAACATTGAATGTGTCCATGTTGGAACTGTTTCATAGATCTGTGATGGTTTTGCACATAATGAAAGATAAATGCTTGTTTTCTTCTGGCTGAGAAGATTGGAGGCAGGTTTTAGAAAAGACTTTTAATCCTAAAACGATCACCGTGCAAAAACAAAAAGCACTGTTGGAAAATTTTTCCAAAAGGAGAAACATCGAGTGGAGACAAATAGACATTTTTCTGCAGTGTTTTCTGAATAAGATCACAGAAGAATAAAACTCATTTTTAGAGGAGAGGATTTAAACCTCAGGTGCTGATGATTCCTGCAAAAGCCATAATCTAGTTTGAGATCATTACATGCAAGGTTAAAAAAAAACTTAATCTGTCACTGCAAATGTCATATAAAAAGGTGTTATATTTAAAAGCTGGCACATCAGAGGCTGGAGCTGTTAAAGAAAGCAAATTACAGAGCTTTGATTTTGACTCCTTTCTTAAACTACCTTTTTTTTCCCCAGCCAAAATAAAAATCCTCTGATGCTGATTTTGTGAAGCAAACCATCGAATGGGATTCCTACTACCACCTAGTGCTACCACCAAACCAAAAAGGACTTAAGTCAAAAAATGTTTAACTTCTGCATTTTTGCGCCATATATATTTGTCTTTGCACTGCTCTGAACTTCCATATCAATGCGATTTGCTCCATCTTTTTCTCTCGCCCTGCTTACATGTGATCACTGCTGCACTTTATGAAATGGAAACGTTCGTTTCACTGCTAAGCTGCTGCTCATTTACTGTGTGAAAACTACAAATCGAAATTTCGTTTTGCATACAAAATGACAAAAAAAGTTTTCTAAGTCTTTAAGACCACTAAAGTTCTGAGAACAAAATTTATACTTTCTGTTAATTTATGTTTAGCACAGTGTGAAAATTGGCAGACAAAGAGCAGAGAACATGCACATAATAAAACACAAATAAGCAGGAGGGATTTCCTGTTCATCAGAGTTATTTAGAAGGAAAAACCGACAGATAGTTGAAGATCAAAAATGGTTCAAAAAAGTTTCCAGACAAAATTGCAAAACTGAATCTTTTCGAAGGAAGACCTGCAAGGAGAATAAGCTCTAGAGCTGCTTCTGAAAGAGTTTAGCATGTTGGAAATCAAATGTAGAGTTACCATGGCGGTGCAACGAGAAGCAAGAGAAACATTGACCTTGGTGCACCATTAAACAGATAAGCGAATAGATGTAGAGTGGGCGACCTTTAACCCATTAGGGGCTGATTTCTAGTTTATTTAGCATTTCGAGGAAGAAAAAAACTGAAAGCTGAAGCAGGTTAACAATGAGACTGATAAACTGAAAGAACAGGACACTCACCAGCCACAGCGTCTTTCCTGGAGGGACCTGCACCGTGAGGAAGACGTCATGGTGGGTCACATCCAGAATGATCTGGTTCTCTGAAACCAGCACGTCTCTGCAGCCGTAAGCGTGGGGACAGAAGGAGGCGTTGGTCTGACCTGAAAGCAGCAGTCAGTTAATGATCACTGAACAATGTCAAACCACCATAGTAGAGGATGCTGTTAGTTACCCTGCCAGATCAGTCCTCCGTTAATGTAGACTTGGACTGGATAGGTGGGATGAAGGGGCTGATGATAATGGAGGATGAAGACGTAGCGGCCAAGAGACTGGATACGGGCTGTGTACACTGCTGCATTCTGGGTAAAGGAAAGGGAGGAAAGCAGCTGTGAATTTATCCCCGTCACCCTCATCGCTATATCAGCAGCAGCGACTTTCCTACCTGCAGCGAGTCCAGACGCATGTGGTGGTTGTTATCTGCGCCGAAGGGAGGTCTGACTTCTTCCATCCAGGCTGGCTCGTCCCTCTGGTTGGAGGAAAGCGGAGGAGCTGCTGCAGGAGACGCCTGAACGGGCTCTTCCTGAGTGGAGGAGCTCTGGCCCTCCCTCAGGACCAGAGAGTCTGACGGTGTCTGGAAGCGGGAAGGGATGCAGGAGGAACTGGGAGCGAATGCAGAGCGAGCTGGTCAGCATTTAAAGCAGGGCATCATCAAATATACTGCAGTACTAGGGAGTCCCTTTACCTGTCAGAGGAGAACTGTCCATGAGTGCTGATGCAGTGGACCTTAGGCTCCACATACTCCATGGTAAACAGGTCTTTGGGCACCAAGTAGACTTTGTGCTGAAAAACAATGAAAAACTTTAGAAAATAGAATATCTTCAATTTTTCTCTCCATAATCTAACCTACAGGGACATATCATGATAAAAACGTTAAATCCCTTTTCACTGAAATCATTTAACTTTTTTTTGTGCTAAGATAAGTAGGTATTTTCTGATAGAATAAAATAATGTATGTTCAAAAAAACAAAAATCAAATAAGTGATTTCTTTTCAAATGCATAATATAAATTTGATTCCAAGTTGGTAGATCATCTTTTTTATCTTCCTAAAAAAAAGGGGGAAAATACTTTTATTTCAAGACATTTTCACTCATCCTAGATATGTTTTTTGCAGTATTTTAAAAAGTGAAATATACATTAAATAGAATGATGAGTTATATTAAATTGAACGATGAGGGAAATATTTCTGGCCCTTATTTCCTGCAATTTCGATGATGATGTTTTACAGAATAGGAAAAGACCTAAAGTTTAGTATCTGAGAAAATTAGATTCATGTAAAAAAGTTTAATATTTGAAACTCATGGTGTCAAACCCTAAAGGGTTCATTCAATCCAAAAAAAAAAAAAACTGCAATGGTTTGCTTCCAGCATGGGAAAAACTGTCCAGAAAGCATCTGTCCTGTAGGCAGACATCGCCTCCACAAAGCGAGGGAGTTCAGCATCCAAGCAGAATCATAGAAAGTTGAGTGAAAGGAAAAAGTGTCGATCAGCAGGGATGGATTCGCCCATAAAGATTCTCATCTACTAGTTCTGGTCCACTAATTCTTTTACAGACCACAACTAACATGGTCATCTACCAGGACACTTTAGAGCACTTCATGTTTCTCCTCTGCTGACCGAGATTCTAATTTCATTTTCTACCAAGAACTGAATCCATGTGATATATGAGTTTTATTTTCTGAAATTAAAAACAAATAAAAATGCAAAACCTTTTAAAATGTTTTAGATATATCTGGGAAGTCAAAAAACCAATATATGTTAGTTTTTTTCCCATCATGATGTAAGGGGACAGCGATTCTCACCAAAAAGAAGGAGGCACGCTCAGAGGACATCTGGATCTCGGCATCAGCAGGCAGTGAGAAGAATGCCACCCGCTTCTGTTCATCAACTGCCACGACTCGACACAGGAAGCTGCACAGAGAACATGCAACAGGAGGATAAAGAAGTGCTGAAAGAATGAGCAGATGGAGCGTGAACAGTTTCAGCAAATGGTCAATAAGCAGAGCTGATGGAGACGAATGCTGGCCTGGGTTTGTTTAGCCTTTATGTTAGCTACTCAACACCGAGGAATTAACTGAATGACAGGTTTTTATACAAACTGGAAAGGTTTCAGTTTGTTTTTCACATGTCTCTAATAACGATTGGTGTTTTGTTAGTCATTGGAGAGGAGGAGCTTGAAGCAGAACTGCTGCTCCTTTGAGTTTATTGAAGATCTGATTAAGTTCCTTTCTAGTAGTGACTCTAATAGGAAGAACCTGGGAGAAAAAAGTCTGGATCAAATATCTCTCAAGTGAGTGAGTGAGTGAGTGAGTGAGTGAGTGAGTGAGTGAGTGAGTGAGTGAGTGAGTGAGTGAGTGAGTGAGTGAGTGAGTGAGTGAGTGAGTGAGTGAAGTAACGGCAGACATTGGCAGTTTCTCAATATGTGTGCTTGTGCATTCTCATGTGCTCATTTACCCGAAAAATGTCATCATCCTCAGAACTGTTCCAATTCACAAGAACAAGAAGACCGAGAACGGACAAAGTTCCCGGGTGTTGTTCTTGCCCCTCCCTCTTTACCGAGTATGCATCAGATCAGACTTGTCCGTTCTCAAGATTAACAGCAGCTTCCAATAAAGCGCTCACAGAGCTCAGAGTATTAAGTTAAAAGTTCTCTTTTCTGTTGCTGTTGTTCGAAAAAAGCACATTTATAGATTGTTTAAGATGAGAACATTATGCTTGTACGTGTCATTATATAGCCCATTTACTGACTTAGTGTGTAATAAAAAAAAAAATTCGGATGTTGAGAGGACCGCAGCAACCAGCGGACCTCCGAGGGAAACAGCAGCCAGGTCTAACCTTAACTCATCTGCAGCAGCCCTCTCTCAGCATAGCCGTGTGAGAAGTACCGCTGGCTCTGATGGCGATATTTTTTTTTTATTTGGCAAAATGTTCATTTGATTTGTGTTTATCTGACCCTTGTTCAATACTGTTCCCCCAGTAATTGAAACAAGTAATCATTTATTATTATCTGGAGACCATTAATAACAGGAGGAGAAATACAGCTCCAGAGGAGCCGAGCGAGTGGTGACGTCACGAGGACACTTCTGTTCCAACTGACCCATATTTATGCTAAGTGCTCCCACTCTGCCAGGGTCCATACTCACGAGTCTGTACTCACATTCCTGTGAATTGAGAAACGGCCATTGTTCCTCACCTGAACTTGCAGTGCAGGAGGGTGACATGGTGGCGCTGTGTTCGCGCTCCAGGCGAGTTAACGGTGACTGTCAGAGTTTGTGGCAGCTCCTCTTCACTGGCGTATTCCACCACCAGAGCATGGTCTCCAGGAGAGACCAGATGCTTTTGCAGCTCTATGCTGATCTGGAGCAGAACAAAAACGCAAATACTTTCTCCTTTAATTTCATATAAAAGCAAAACAACAACTACTCTGTTAATCCTCTTACGTCCAATCCGCTGCAGACGGCCATGTCAGGGTGACGCGGCGTAACCTTCTCTGTGGGGCAGGGTCGTGGCAGGTGGTTGTCATGACGACAGTTGCCGTCGTTTCCGGAGATGGAGGGGAAGTAGTCCAGAGGCAGGTACTTGTACAGCAGGCAGCTAGACAAAACAAGAGGATCGTTTTAAATATTGTCATGAAGGTTCAGATTTGAAGGAACAATACAGCCTTCAGCTACACTGCAGCAGGATGGGAATTGATTATTATAAGACAGGGGAAAGGACAAGACATAAAAACAAAACTTTAACAGGACCCAAGTTTATGCTTCCACCTGCTATTGGGAAGATGTTGGCAAATGAAGGGGATGAATCTATAAAACTGATAACTGCTGGAAAAAGGAACATCTAATGATCATAAAGCCTTCAAAATAAATATTAGGTTTTATCTGCATGCTAATCAGCTGATTGCAAGGCAAGAGTTTATTGTGCAAGAACAGCTGCAGTTAAAAGTTTTTCAGGGAGGAAAAACTCCAAGTGAATCTGGCTTAAAAGAAAGAACTAAAGCTGTGGAAAAGCACCTGATGCTGGAGGATCAGGGCCTGTTTCTGTCTTTATTGCTCCAGCATCATGTTCTGTATTCTCAGCGACCAATCACATTAATCCTCACCATGGATGTCCGATTCAGGAGCTAAAGCCCTGATTGGCTGATTGGATTGAATGCTATCTTAACAGTTAGTTCATTTTTATAATAAAAGAGGGAATGTCTATATTTACTTCTGGTTTTGTTCAGGAACAAAGCTGTATGTGCAGGGGTCCGTGACTTTAATCTGCAGGATAGGAGCTTCATAGTAGGCGCTGGGCAGCAACACAAGGTAGTCCTGGAGGAAAAACAAAAACAGTGGGAATTAGAGTGAAGATTAAGGAAATATTGAATCACAAGAATTGTGAAATGTAATGTATCATCATTAAATAAACAATATCATGAAATTAAGAAAAATTATAACCGTTTTTCTGGGCTAAATGTGTCATTGCAGACATGCAAGTAAAAAAGCCGCTGTAAAATATCCCTACGATCAAAAAGACAATGGTTTGGGGACAATGTAATTTTTTGTAGCACAAATAAGATAATGCTCTAAGAAATACATATTCTACCAATGTCTAACAACAATCCCATTAACATTTAAATGTCCCCATAGCTTAGAGTTATTTACAAAATCATAGGTTAAGGTGCATCCATGTTGAGTTGCCATCTTTGATTGCAGTTGCCGTAAGGAGATACAATTGTTAGCCTTACATGTTTCTTAGACTTAGAGAACTTTTATTGTCATTTTGTATACACTGGTACAGCTTTTCAGACAGTAAACTTTCAGTTTCACCTGTATATGAACAGCTGTTATTGGTAAGGGGGAGTATAAAACCAGGAAAGTCGACCGTAGATCATTCTACTTTTCTATTAAAATGGACAACCATCCAAACTATTTGCACTAAGGGATGAAAGTAACAGAGAAACGAAAAAGAAATAATAACCCCTAGAAAAACAAGTCTATATTGGAGAAGCTTAACCCAGGTGGAGATAATTCATGAGGGAGTGGAGTTGAAAGCCGATGTAGATGTTGAAGGTTTTCTCCTGAACAGGTGAGCTGATTCAATAAAACATTGCAGTTAAATTGGAATTATGTTAGAAACTGGGCTACTTTACTTGTTTGCCTCATTTAAACTGCTATCAGTTGATGTTATTTCTCACAGACGTCAGACCAGCAGGCGACTGTACACTTCTTTCAGCTGGATGTTCTGGTAGATGTTCAATGTGTTTATTTATTCTAGCTTATTTGTATTTGTATCTATATAATAGATAGATAATAGACCTAAACTAAAACAGGTTTCTCAGTGATTTAATTACAAGAATGGGAAGCAATCCGATGCAGAAACCTCTCAGATAATATTTACATCTAAAGGACACATCTAATCGCCCACGGAGAAATCAGCTGAAATAAATTCATATAAAACGAGAGAAAATCTCAGCTTTTAATGTATTGGCATCAATAAAAAAAACAAATTATGAATCGTTCTGTAACTCATCCACTGGTGTGACGCATCTGACGCAGGATGTGGACATTGTCGCATTATGACACTTTGCGCCTTCCAATCTTACGAAATGCTTAATGGCAAGGCGACAGAGCGTACTTCTCATTCATTTGTAATTTACTTAATTCACCACTAGATGGCAGTAAACCTTACATGCTGCAGCTTTAAAGGAAGTTACAGCATAAGAGCCGGCTCCCCGATAACACTGTCCGCTTTTCGGCTTAGCATTAATTAGAGTTCAGCATTATAACTATGAATGCAACTATTTCTTATAATGATTCATTATGCCTGGAAAATTGTATATGATATAATAAAGGCTTACTGATAGGAATAAGGATTTTATAACTTATAGGGAATCATTAATTTATCATCTTGTTTTAAAAAAGGTGCCCTCCACCGTTTTGTGCTCAGTAAGGCTGATTTGCATGTATGCTAACCACTACATGTGTGATGTTAAGTATATCTTACTAGCAAGATCCCCTCAGCCTCTATTATTACGGTCCAGGTTCCTGGGTTCAGGACGAAAGGCTCCACATAGTTGTTCTGGGGGACATTGACGAAGGTCGGCTGCACACTGGGTGCAAAGACGATTTGTTTGGACTGTTCTGAACCTTAAAACACAAACAATCCTGCATCACACACAAGAACTCAGTCTGAGTCAGATACACAGCAGAAAGGTAAAGTCAAAACAGAAAGAGAAAAAAATAATAATTTAACGATTGTCAAAGACAACTCAAGCAAACATCAAGTAGCATCAGCGGTGACAATGTCTGGTTAGTGGTGGAGACATACCTCTGCGGTTGGCCTGAAAGGCTGTTATTTTACCGTTGGAGGTGTCCCCCTCAGAATTGACATATCTGAGGATAAATCGAGTCAGATAGACGTCTGCCTCGCTCACAAAAACCTGGAGCTTGACTGCAGTCTACAAGGACCGGGTCCAAGGTGAGAAAGAAATGCGTAAGCATTAACGATAAACCTTGGATGTCTCTACTGATCTGTGGCCCTCAAGAGGAAAATCAATGGAGCTTTTAGAGTGAAAGAGAAGCCACCACCAAGACGTGTTTGCCAGCCTGCCACCACTGCAAACACATCCATCGCTTCTTACAGGAACGATGGATGATGAAGACGAGGATAGTTTCCAGACTGGAGCGACGCCATTACTCACCATTTTTCACCCCGACACCGAAATAACCAAATTTATTTAGTGTGTTTTGTGAAATTAAATAAAAAACATAAATTTTATCCATGTTTAGTATTAACTTTAAAGGTATAGGCTATCAGGAGGTGGGATCAAGTGATTCTAGCAACGTCTTAGATAAGTCTGAAGTCGGGTTGAGTCAAAGTCGAGTCTATTTTTTTAAAAATATAGTTAAGCCAAGTCATCAAATCTCTAAGTGGAGTCAAAATTCACGCTACGTTGAAATATAATTTACAACTGAAGTAAAGCATAGAATTCCTTAAAAGACTCCAAACAGGAAGAGGAGAGGTTTAGTCCTTTTTCCAAAGATGCTGAGAGGTGAAGAAAAGATAGAAAAGTAGGTTTACCATCTCCTAGCACTTACAGTTACCACAGAAATGATTCCAGCCGTCTTCTATGATCGACACCCTGCCCCGAACAGCCGAACCGCCCCAGTTGCTGTAGCGCAGCACCACACGGAACAGATCCGGAGAAGTGACAAACACCGACACCAGCACGTTGGACTACAGAGGGAGCAGCGAGCAAGGCAGGAGGAGCAGAGGGGACGAGTCAGAGAAACACAGGAGCCACAGGTTAGAAGACCCCACAGATCAGAAGAGCAGAGAAAGGAACACTAAGATGGAAGGAGATGAATCATTCAAGGAGAAGGAAGATGAGGGAAGTCACCAGTTAAACAGAACCACCATTAAGACTGAAAGGGAAGCAGCAAACCTCTAAAGGAGGTTCTCTTATGCTGTCATTTAAATCAGAACATTTCTCTTTGAAGACACACTTTCAAGCACAACTTTAGTCTGTCTCCAGAATTTCTTAAAGGTATCCACAATCATAGTTAATGAAAAAAGTGGAAAACTACCTTTATTAAACTAAAAGATAAAATATGTTTAACCTCTTGAATGCCATTACCTCTTCATACTACGTACACAATCAAGATAGCATTTGCATTCTCCCAGTGCAAGTTTTTCAGTGTGGGGCTAGAAAACTTTGGCAAGTTCTTGATCCCATTACAATTGGTCCCTAACAGTTTTTGTTACATGTTGCTACAAATTTGTAATATACCTAAATTTTTTATTTATTTTATACATACATAGAAAGTTGCAACATTTAAATTTCGCAACTATTTAAAGCCATATTTATATATATATACACAAACAAACATATATATATATAAATTCAAGCATCAATGGGTTAAACGCTGCTCTGTATATGCTGAAAGGTTATTCTACCAAAGAGAAACATCCAATTTTAGCTGATCTTTTTTGTATAAGAAAACAACAAGAAGGGGCCACAGTCAGCTAAATATCTTTTCATAAAAGCACACTGTAATACTTAACAGTTACATTTTAAAATAATGAACATTTATCATAAAAAAACAACTTCATGAGAAGACATATATAACATCATACATAACAAAATTCAGTATTATCAAGGAATATATATCAACATCAGAGGTCGAAGGTCAAACCTACCTGAATGGTGGACATCTGGGCATAACCTCTCCAGCTGAAGTCTGGGAACTCCAGCAGGTTGTAACCAAATCTGACGGGTCGACCATCCATCATGGTTCCCTCCTCAATCTCAAACTTCAGATGATGGAGGTCTGGAAAGTAATGATCTGGACGAGGTCTGCAACCAAACAAGCATTTATCCAACAAAAACCTGTAGATGTTGTAAAGAAACCTAATCCATTGGAAACAGGCTGCTAAAAAGATCCTCCTGACGGAATAAAGTAATCTATTTGAACCGCTGAAGAAGGTTGGTTAGACTCACAGGTTACACCTTGACCCCTCAATGTTGGGCCGACAGTCACACTGACCACTTTGCTGGCTACAAAACTGACCGATGGAGCCCCCAATGTCACACTGGCAACCTAAAAAAACACAAAACACATTTATTAGTTAACCATCAGCTAACATATAAAAAGCTAAACCTTGATGTTTTTAACGGGTTTAGCTAAAGAAAACTCACCCTGGCAGCCAAAGTAATTGTGATCCTGCAGGTTGTAGTAGCCCTCTTTGCAAGTAGAGCAGGTTCCACTGCAGACGTTGGGCTTGCAGTGACAGTCACCAGTCTCCTGTCAGACACATACAAATAAAAAATAACCATTAGCTACAGTAAATATTACAATACAATCTACTTCAACTGCAGAAAAGAGAACAAAAACATAAAAATCTGCAAAATAGAATAACCACATGTTGGATAAATCTGATCAGGAAAGTTCTAGCTTAAAAATGCATAAGGTTAAAAATAAAAGAACAAAACTGATCTGACATCTTCGAGAGGGCATTTGATTTACTGTGGGTGTTATTTCAGTGCTTTGATCTTATTGGCAGCAACTAGCCTCTTACACCCTAAGGGGGTATAAATAAATTTCTGCCTGACAAAAACACACAAAAGTAAATAACTTATAGCCTCAAAGCTATTAGATTTAAGAAGAAACTTTTGGTACGTCTGTAAAGGTAAGATGTCATAGAATGGTTTTCTGGTGTCAGCACCATTGCAGCTTTGACCCTGCCTGAAATATTAGGGACAAAATACAAAATATTTTGCATTTTTTGAACCTCGCCAAAATTTTCTTTGAAATAAACATTGCAAAACACTACCAAAATATTATTTATAGCACAAAAAAGTAGTACAGACTTTCAAATCTAAATGTTGTGTAAAAATATACCAAATTTGGACTCAATCAGATGAATCATATTTATTTTAGAATGGTATTAGTGAGAAATTTCTTAGGCGGAGAGGCCATTTTGGCACATTTATCCATAAATGTCACCAAACTGTGACAAATATGTTTTTTACATCAATACTGGGGGTTTGGTAAAATTACGAGGTCACATAGCAGCTGGACCCGCCGGTGGGTCCGTAGGGTTCAAGGGGCTAGATGTCAAAACTTCAACATGACTAAAATTCTCAGAAATAAGCCTTCAGTTTGTTCACTTTCCTGTCTTTTAAAGACACATAACTCTTGAAAATTAAACATATGTTTGATAAATAAGCTTTCTAAAGATTGGTTATGAAATCTGCCAAAATCAAGTCACAGGTAACACTTTGCAGATGTACTATTTTTTGAGAGAGGAAATGTTTATTTCACCTGTGCACACTCAGCAACAGCACTCAGGGTCCCTGCAGTGTTACACTCACAGCCTGCATGATAAAACCAGGAAGACAGAGGTCTGTTCTACTGACTGCCTTCATAGAAATGAAAAATCCTTGAGTGTCATGTAGCATGTCCTACTGGAGCATCCATCAGGCACGTCCGGGGAGAGGTTCCAGTACAGAGGTTTGCATTTGTCACAAGCTGGGCCCTCGACATGACGACGACACTCACACTGACCCTGCGTGCAGGAAAAAGCTCCATCTAATGAATTCATTCAAAAAACACTAAAAGTTTAGAAAAATAAGAGCAAACTAGACTTACAACAGGTGGCAGGACGACATACTGGACGGATCCAGCTGGGTGACACGTACCAGCTTTCATGTCAGAGAGAAACAGAGGCCATCACTCAGGTTACACGATCTAAAGTCTCAATATTTATCATTAGGCTGCAATTTAAGGCCTCCAATCATATAAAGTGACCCAAACAGATTAATTAAAGCATATTCAAAGCAGTTGTTTAACATTTAGTGCAATATTGCAATCTCTAGCTTTAGTGTGTTTGTTGCATCATTAGGAGCAAAATAGGAGGCACCGACTGTTTGTTTTATTACCTTGACAGCTGGGGAAGCCGTATGAGCCGTGCTCACAGCTGTCACACCTCAGTCCCACCACGCCGGGCAGACAAACGCACTGGCCGGTCATCTGGTCGCAGCTTGTGTAGCGTGACCCCAGCGGGGAACACTGGCAGGCTGGAGACGAAACCAGGAGAGGCAGAGCGGTTAACAGTCACCTTTACATTTGCTTCTTAAACAACAAACTTTAAGTCCTGACTTACGCGTGCAGCTCGGGTAGCCATAGTAACCGTGGGAGCACTGGTCACATGACACCGCGCTGTAGTTGGGTCGGCAGTGGCAGGCACCGGAGGCGGAACAGCGGCTCTCTAATGAGGTGCGGGGATCACAGGAGCACTCTGGGAAAATACCGCAAAATATTCAAAGAGTTAATATACAGCAAATGTTTTACTGAATGCTTTTATATTCTTCCATTTCATAACATTTTACTTGGGAGATAAAAAAAATTGGCACAATTTAATATCAAACAAATTGGCAAAAGATTCCTTAACATATTCTTATTTAGTTATGTCAAATAAAAGCACTTATTTTATGCATAAGAAATTGGATCTAATTGGTTGTTTTAACAAGACAATGCTTACATAATAACATTTAAAATAGTTCTGGAAAGAACTCTATAAACTACGCTTTACAATATGAAATGAACTGGGTTAGACTTGAATGTTTCATCAAATATGAAGGAGAATGCATTTTGAAAATACATATAAAAAGCCATTATGCAAAATAAATCATATTGCATATGTTAAATCTAAGCTAGCCAAAAATTTTTTTTATTTTGAATAACGTAAAGTACATTTTGGACCCTAATATATGTATAATGCAATGGTTTTACCATTTTAACATATTGTTTGATAACTTGAAATATTGAACTGATACGTTTCTGTGACCCTTGAACTAAACCTGTCTCATATTTTCCCTTATTCCTTTCTTATACTTTTTCCCATCTATTTTTTTCCCCACGTGCAAATTCCTGAGCCTAACAAAAAAAAAGAACAGATTTTATAAAGAAATGTGCCACTTCATAAAATCTAACCCAAAACAAATTGCTTCCATGTGCATCAGTCACATAAAGTGATCCATGATCCCTGCATTAGATCTGCTCTGTGATTGATTACCTTGACAGTTAGGGAAGGAGTGGAATCCAGAGCTGCACTGCTCACAGCGAGGACCCTGAAACTCTGGTTTACAGAGACAGCGGCCGGAGTCATCGCAGCGCTCAGGAAGAGAGCCGTCTATGCTGCAGCCGCAGACTGCAGAAAGAGGACAGACATCATAGCATTCCTAAACTATCTTTAATATATTTATTAGAAACCCAACCTAAAAACTACACTTAAAACTCAATAAATAAACACCTAACATTCCTTTTCATGACATCAGGCTCGGTGTGATCTCCATTAGGTCAACCAGCCTGACATCTGAGCAGGTGGTAAAAGAACAACTACTGTTCAATCAAGTCAAAATACACCCACTTATATACAGTTGAACAGCATGATCAACATCCAGAAGGAGCAGTTTGAAAGGAAATAATTCGATCCACATGCAGAAGGGGGGGGGCGGACATGAACAGTATTTGATTTGCATGCATCTGTTGTCTAGTGTGGAAAGGAAAGGAGATTGTGATTGGAGCAATTCCATCCGTCAGGCAAAGTCTTTGAAGTTCAACCAGAAACTTATACAGTTTGACAGGGGTCACACTCTGGGTTTACATGAGTTCTAGTGGATGTATTCTGTAATTAGGAGGTAAAGATACCTCTGATGGATGCTCCACAAACTGCCTGGAACATCAAGCTTGGCTTACGATCATTTAGTCTGTCCTATAATAAATGGTCTAGACATTAAAATCTAGGATCTGTCTGCATGAGTATCAAATCATATCTGGGTCAAACCACGGGTACTGGATCCGGCCAGTTAATACATTTCTAGAGTGAGTTATTAATTTATTTAAGTTAGCCAAGGTTGTTTGTTTTAGTGTGAATTCCACAAAAAATAATAAACTAAGAACTGAATTATTGATTTATTCAGATTTTTTCTTAACCAAATATGTAGATTTTTTTTCAACAAGATCCAGACATAAAAACCAAAAGTCTCCAGGTGGAGGAGGTGACTCACATTGGCAGAGGGGGTAGTTGAAGTAACCAGGCGCACACTGATCACATTGGTAACCCTGGAAACCACTCCGACACACTCCATGACCAGTCACCAAGTCACATGACCCGTCTTGGCATCCCGGACCCGAACACTGACAGGCTGGTAGGGGGAAAAAAATCCCAGTGTGACGGCAGACAGGAACAGAGTTTCTATGGTTCTAAAGCACTACATGATCATCATAGAACAATTATTATAGTTTTTATGTGAGACTAGGAGCATAGTTTTAACTGGTTTTATAAAATAAGACCTTAGGCACCTGATTAGTACATCCAACATGGTATTCCACGTCTTATTTCTAAAAACATTCTTTCACCCAAAAGTCTTTAACTGTATAGAAAACAGCTGGGAAGGAAGGAAGGAAGGAAGGAAGGAAGGAAGGAAGGAAGGAAGGAAGGAAGGAAGGAAGGAAGGAAGGAAGGAAGGAAGGAAGGAAGGAAGGAAGGAAGGAAGGAAGGAAGGAAGGAAGGAAGGAAGTTCCTTTTAGAACTTAGAAAGTGAATAAGGTCTTGAAATAAACACAAAAAAAAAATTGGCTACTCTTTTTTTATCCTTCAGTCTGATGCCTCCTTAAAAATAATGTTTAGGAAAATGAGCAGTTAACGTTAAACTTAAAGCATATAGAAAACTGCTGTGACTAAGAAAGGAAGTAAGTAAGTAAGTAAGTAAGTAAGGAAGGAAGGAAGGAAGGAAGGAAGGAAGGAAGGAAGGAAGGAAGGAAGGAAGGAAGGAATTGAAGGAAAGAAATGAAGGTCTAATGCCTCCTTATAAAAATGTTTAAGAAAATGAGCAGTTAACGTTAAACTTAAAGCATATAGAAAACTGCTGTGTCTAAGAAAGGAAATAAGTAAGTAAGCAAGTAAGTAAGTAAGTAAGTAAGTAAGTAAGTAAGGAAGGAAGGAAGGAAGGAAGGAAGGAAGGAAGGAATTGAAGGAAAGAAATGAAGGTCTGATGCCTCCTTAAAAAAAATTTTTTAGTAAAATGAGCTGCTAACGCTCATGTCTCACCCTGGCAGTTAAGGCCGTAGAAACCAGGGGCGCAGGTGTCACAGTGGTCCCCAGTGAACCCGGGTTTACAGATGCAGGTTTGAGTTCGAGGGTCCGTCCTGCAGGAGTTATCTACAGTACCTGCAGCGCTGCACTCACAGTCTGCAAAGAAAATACCATCATATTTGTTCTTTTCAAATATATCAATTATGTACCTACGTGTTTAATACAAACAATAGTTAAAAAAAGACATTTAAAGAATAAATGTTGGATGTTGTTGGAATGTGGCACAAACAACCATCAGAGGACAGGTGGTCTAGCTAGAATGATCAGTGTTTTTGGACCAGCTTATCAACTTTGAGCTACATTCAGTTCACAGCAGAGCTTTCCCATAACTCCCTCACACATCTGAGTAAAACAAAAGCATCACAACTGAGCAACTGAGAGCGAGATACGGTAGCATTTAACCATGAATACCTCTGGAGTCAAGGTCAGACATTTGTTAGTGTTCCCAAAACACAGTCAGACACTCATTCTTTCTTTGTTTCAGGTTTCAATAAAAAGATACTTTGCAATCCTCTCTGTGCATTTCTCTAATTAAATCCATCTAAACACACCCACTATAGTGTTGTTAGAAGTATTTGCCTCTATAGTTCCTTTTGTCGCTGCCTTGGTTTCACACTTAAAGGTTTTAAGCTTGTTAACCAGACTTAACACCAAAAAACTTTTCAAATAATGATTACATTTTTAAAAGAATCAAAGGTTCCCACCCCCCAAAACAAGTAGACTGCAAATGTAAACAGTAACTTTTGTATCTCAGTGAAAGTAGAGAAACACACAACTTGTAATTGGATTAAGATCGGGACTTTGACTAGTTCACTCACAAATCTTAAACATCTGTAGTTGAAGTTGTGCCATTATTAAGTGGGAGGCTTTTTTATTTTATTTAAGATTTTCTAGTAGAGAGCAAAATTCCTGGTTTTGTCATAAAGAGGAATTCATCTAAGTCTTCAAGCAGCAAACCAAACCCAGATCAGCTTTAGCATTTCTGGGTTTTTACACAAACGCCTGATGCTCTCCTGGAGTATTGGTAGGGTGGCCCCTTCGGAGACTGTTCTCGTCTGTTCCACAGTTACTCCATTTGTTAATGATAGTTCTACACACAGTTCAAAAGCTATGTTGCTTTCTTTATTATCTGTTGTTTATTATGAGGGCATGTTGCTCTTTTACATGTTGTTAGCCGTTTTCATGTTGCCAGATGGGTTCTATTAAGGATTTCTCATTAGGACAGGTCGTTAGTGATCCAATTAGGCTTTCCACAATAGGGATTCATTAAAGTTAATTTCACACTTTAATCATCTCTTAAAAACTAATCTTTATCTGACATAAAAATTGTTTGCTAATCTTATAAAAACACTTCATCCGCTTTAAAAGGCTGAAACATCTCTGTCCTCTTTGTTTGTACATATATGAGCAGTAGAAAGATGTTTATGAAAGGCTGAATGGAGCTCCATTGAATGCACAATAAATGTGTAAACTTGTTAGCGATGGGGAAAACTTGGTTTTGTATACATTTCTGTATAAGTATAAGAATTAAAACCAGTTTCTGATCATATCACTGTTGGAATCAAGAGAAGAAACCTACTGATGATCTCTCCAGCTGGTTTGGCTTCACCGTTGTTCTCATTGTTAGTGGGATCGGTGGAGATGGCTGGCAGACAGAAAGACAAACGTTCCTGTTTAACTACGGAAGTCTGTTTTAAACACAGCATCTAAAAATGTTCCAACTCACGGTAACACTCAGGGAAGTTAATAAAGCCACTGGCACAGGCGTCGCAGTTCTCTCCAGTGTATTTCGGTTTGCAGAAGCAACGTCCGGTCAGATCCTCACACGTACCGTCTGTGAACTCTGACTGACAGTTACAGGCTGCAGGCGGATAAAAGGGGAAAGATGAAGAGGAGGCATTGAGGATGAAGCGTTAGAGGAAAACTGACGGACAACAGATACTCACGCAGACAGGCCAGAGGGGAGTCGATGGGATGGTCCGGTGACCTGTAGTAGGTGGGGATGCAACGCTCACAGTTGACTCCGGTGGTGTGATGCTGTGAAAGACAGTTTGTGACAGTTTTACACCTTTAAAGCTCCAACACTAACATCCTTTGTTTCAGGAGTCTAAAGTACCTGGCAGTTGAGGCAGACGCCTCCTCCTCTGTGGTGTCCATGGATGTCCAGACTGGCTCTCCTTCGGTCCACCTCAGGATCGTAGTAACAGTCGAAAGAGTGACGGTGACAGTTACAGGCTGAAAGGACCAAAAAAAACATCTTTAATATAGCAACAAAACTAGGAAAATACAGAGTGATATGAAGATACATAATGTATATTTATTATATCCAAACATCCAGAGGTTTGGGGAAAGAGTTTGTTTTATACCTAAAATAACCCATAAACCAATAAAATAGGACACATGAAGGCCTGAGCTGCTCTTTAAGGAGTTTTCTCTGTGTGCTGCATAGCGTAGGATTCACCTGCCCCCCTTGTCCTAGTCTTTTAAAGTAATAGGGAAGCGGCTGTTCAAACTGTTGCATTTTCGAGGTCTCCGAAATGGTGCACGACTTTACAGGAGTGAATAAAGTGAATGTGATTGGTCGGTTATCAAGGGGGCGGGATTGTTGTGGCGGAAGGTTTGCAAGCAAGTTTGGTTGTAGCCGGTTTGTCAGAAGCATCTTGTTAACCAGTTAGCAACTTCGTGCTAGTAGGTTCCCAATGGGAAAATCCATTGCAACCAAGTAGCACTAAATTAATGATTTAGAAACGACACTGTCAAGGAACGCTATGGACAGTGGAAACATGCAAGAGGAGGGGAGTTTAGTGTCGGAGGTTGAGGATGAGTCTACTCTGTCATACATTTTTTTATTTAAAGAAGGAAAGCGGGAACGAAGTTGTCGTGGAAGAGGATGACAGGGTGGCAGAAGCTTGGTTGGGTGTAGAAGGCTTACAGCCGTACATGTTTGAGCCCTTGCCTCGCAACGCTACCGGTTCTATTAGCTCTACGCCTGCCGAAGACACAGACATCCATCCCCGTGAACACTGGGACGAAACTAGATGGGAAAGGAAATTATGATTCCTATTTCTTATTTCAACCGTTGCGTATATTAGCTGCAACATATTAATCAAGATGCTATGACCGAAAAAATTTGATTGACAGATGATCATTGATATATGATTGGCCGAATTTAGGTGTTCAGGCTGATGTATAATTAACTGGCCTGCATAAAATAACGGGTGAAAAAAATTATTTTCAGACAGGATTTTGGGACAATATGGTCTGATAAAGATTACATGTATAAACATGTTTAAGCCAGAATGATTTTACATTTAAATATGAATTCCCTACAACTTCAACCATAGCTCTTTATTCAGTGATTACCCAATTAGTCATTAATAAACTATAAGAAGAATTAAAAAAGTTTCCAGATACCTGATAGAATATAACTACTAGAGTTTTAAGGGAGGAATGTATTATACAGGAGTAAAAGGACGTGTTGTGCTTTTCTGGTGAGCTGAAGATTCTAGAAACATTTAAAAAGTTGAGCTGAAAACAGAGCATCAGGTTCCTGCTGGTGGCCCTCATCAGGGTCTGTTTGTAAAGTAAGTTCCCTAATATTTCAAGGCAAATTACATGTTCTACCTTAATCCAGTAACAAGAGAATTTTAGTGTTTCACATGAATAAAGGATAAGAAAAGAAAATACAGCATAACACTTATTGCTGTGGCATAATGAGGGCGGGTAAAGATTGCAGAATAAAATAATTATACGTCACTGGAGTCTTTGGAAACTGAGGAATACGTGTTTAGACATATAACCCTGAGAGCAATCAGACATCAGAAGTAATCTCACAGAATCAACTGTTGTTGCTCATCAATCTGATATGAGTTCAAATTCTATTTTCAAAGTATTTTAGGAAAACGTCTGGAAAGGCGAGGCTCATTTTCAGGTGGAAATCTTTCTAGGCTTTTGAATTCTGTATTTTTATTTGTTTTTATCAGCAGGTTAATTAGGTTAATTGGCTTATTATTACAGTTAAAAATCAAGATGAAAGATGTGACAAAAAAAGTGGGAAACCAGAGGAGATAATATTGGCTTGCCATAAAAAAGGAAAGTTGGCTGTGGCAGCAGTCATCCTGCAAACTTTCTCCATACTGTATCTGTCTGCTTTATATTCATTGTGGGTCATCTGTTGCTGGGAAAGCAGTAAATCAGCAGTCAGTGAATTTATCTGACTGAACAACCACTGATCCATACTGAAAACATTATTCAGTAAAGATGTATATGTGTAAAGTCTAACATGAACATTTGTTCAAACTTATATCAATTGGTGGTAAAACATTAATATTTAACACAGACATGAAAATGGCTTTTAGCCAAAAGACAAAAAGCTGAACAGGAATAAAAGAAGCAAGGAAAGGGAAAAAGATCCAAAAGATAAAATTAATAAGTAAAATGGCAATTGTAAATCGGTTGCAACTTAAATTCTGGGTTTTCTCATCAATGACGTTTAAAGCTGCTGCTCTGCTACTCATTTCCTCAGAACGGCGGTTTTAATAGAGGATGGGGGATCAGACACTGTTTAGGATCCAGCATTTAGTCCAAGAAGAAGTTCAGCTGTGATTAACAGAACCACACAGACTGTCTGACTGCATGAAAACCAGGTTGGGCTTTTTTCATCCATCATAAAAGGCTAATTTCATGTCTAATCACAGGCTGGTGGAACATCTTTCTTCTGATAACACTTAAGGGCCTTTAAAGAGTTCTTTACAAAGTATTCATCGGACCAATCTGATCCAGTTAAAAGGGAAAAAACAGGAAGTATCTAAAATGTTCATGTTCCATGGAGCGGGACGATGGGTTCTCAAAGGTGTCTTAATGACAGATGGTTCTTCTGTAGAACAGCGAATAATTTGCTTGGTTTCAGCTTTGATCATCAACCAGCATTTCTTTAGACTGACAATATTTTATTTATTGTATCCATCTCTAAATGTATTCAGGGTAAATAATGTAGATAACCCAGACTTAAACCTAAAAAGTTAAATGAAAGCACAGAAATTTCAGCTTCTTATGATCTCAGTTAAAACACAGACACACACGAATGCCTGAGGACCAGACGAACTACCGCTTCTGATAGTACTTTGTTCTTATCTGACTCGGTGTCTGAGAGGTCCCGTCTCAATGAACTGCTTATCCTGCATCTTTCCTGCAGCTCCACAGCGATGCCTTTACTCTAAGTCGGAAACATTTATATTTTTCACTCACTCTAAAGCAGAACAATGAATTAGTGAAAAACTAAACTAAACTAGACATTTAGTGAACCTTTGGCCATTGTTATTTCCATTATGAGCTTAAAAACACCAATTCATACCAATCAAAATGAAACAGGAGAAAACTTTAGGCTGGGACCTAAGCTTTCATCTAGCAAAGTGTAAAAAAGTTCAACAAGTCAACTTATTGGATCTTATTATACTTAGTTAATTTATAAAAATGAATATTTTAAAGAATAAAGCCTGTTCCAGATGAGTATGAATTAAAATGACTAAAGGTTAAAGAAAACTATCAGGTAGGAAAAAGCCACCTGGCTTTACTCAGCTGGTAAGATACGATAAAATCAAAAATCAAATCAAAAAGAGCATGCTTTCAAACTGTCATGCAGTAGCTAACTAACACACAAATACTTTAGAATCTATTTCTGCACATTTCGATTTATAGTTATGTTCCTGTTTGGACCAGGCTTTAGCTGATACACAAAACACATCCCTCTGATCGATTTTGGAATTTATATCTTCAGACACTTAAATATTAATGAGGGCCAAGCATTCCAGGTTCCTTAGTTGAAAAAATAGCCCACATCATCACCCCTCCACCACCATGCTTCGTTTGATTTGCTCCAGTTCATCAAAAACAAAACAAACAAAAACATTTTTTGGCTGTGTTATCAATGACTTTATGATCTTAAATCCTAACTGAAGGCTTCTTAAGTTTTATTACTTCTTCTTTACTTATGTAATTTTTTTGAAAAACCGTTGTTTGTCATATCTTATGTAAGTAATAAGGCAAGATGTCATGACCGTAAATATAAGAGTGGACCAGCACCTTTTATTACGCATAGGAAAGAATTATAGGTTTTCTATACTGATGCACAGCGAAAGTATATGCAAACTGAACTAGAAGGCCTGAAAACGTTCCTATCCTCACCATAAAAATGTTCATGTGAGAAAGTCCAGCCTCTGTTTCTGCTGAGCTTCATTAAATTAAAGCCAACTGATTCTGTTGAACCAACACATGAAACACATTCCTGTGCAGGCTTCAGTGAGCACACCTTCTCTCTCTCTGTGTGTGTGTGCTGTGTTGGGCCCCACTCACGTTCGCATTCATTAGCGCTGTAGGTCGTCGCAGGTTTCCACGGTAACTGGTTGTACCCGGGGCAGCATTGGTCACAAAAAACGCCGCAGGTGTTGTGCTTACAGTCACACAGCAACCTGTGAAACAATAAAAACAAAAAGAGGAGAGAAAAAGCAGTTTAGCTCAGATTCAGTTTCCAGCTTTTCTGTTAGTGTCCCGCTAAAGTTTATTCTCTAACATTAATGTAAAAACAGGTTACTGATGCTGCAACTTCTCCCATACTGTAACACAGTAGAGGTTAAACAGTAAAAAAAGATCCTCTCAACAAAGAGGAGTGCAACCCATCTCCTGGGTGGACAGAGGCTGACCGCTTCACCCCGGCTTCTAATTGGATTAGTGAGTGAACTTACTGCCCACAGAGTGTGGCCCAAACACAGCAGGGAACGAGACAGAAAAACAAACTTCACCTTGCTTTTTTTATTAGTCTGAGTCATCTTAACCCTGCATAAAATACAAAGCGATCACGGGAGAACGAGGAAAGTGTAATGAGAGTAAAGAGGAGGAGAGTTAGATTTTAATCACTTAATTGTGAACTTTTATTCCAGACTGACATGAGGGAAAATAACTTGGCTATTTTGACCTGAGGGATCTAGATATAGTTGTATTAACAGTACAGTAAAATATACAAACCTGATGTGAATGAACACTAGTAACTGAAAAGAAGAGCAAAACAAATTTGCTCTTCTTCCGATAAAACTGAGAGATTCAGTTCTTTATTGAAAGGGTTTAACCTCTTAACATTCACCTCATTTTGGGTAATCCTCTCCTATTTTGCACACCCAAATGGAAAAGCAACTTAGGAACATTATTTTAAAGCTAACACTCTTTAGGTTATGAATATGTAAATTAAAATTGGATGAGTAGAACACAGACCAAGCTGCATCAGTTTAATCATGACTCAAAGTTGTTGTTTTTTTATTCTCGAAAATGATAGGCCTTTTTTGAACAACGGTAGTAAAGACATTCTTGAGGGCAGAAGCAGGTTTCATTGTATTATTTTTGTTGTACATCATGTCAACCACAAATGCAGAAAATGTCAGACCTCTAGCTATAACAGTTCCAGAGCTGTGGGGTATGGAACTTTTGGTGTCAGCTTAGAGCTGCGCGCAATGGCTCTACCTGCTGGTAAACATTTTACCAAGGGAATTTTATGCATCCCTCACTTAAAGGAATAGTACACCCAAAACATGATTAGCCTTCATTTTCTACTCACCCCCATGCTGCACAACACCCTGGAGTACTTTTTTGATATCTCAAATGCATCTGGAGATCTGGGAGGCTTCTTGCTGTCTGCTGACATTCAAATAATGGAGGTCTATGGTGCCCGAGACAGAAAGGTCCATAAAAGTCCACAAAAAACGTGTCAATATTCCTCCATACTGCTCGTCCAATGTATTCCAAGTGTCCTGAGTGGGTAGCATCCAGAATTTACTCGAAACTAAGTCATTTAGAATGTTTTTAGAGCATAAACAGTAGTGTATAGGATTTCCTGAAAGCGCGCACATGCGCGATCACGACGCTACGGAAGACGGCAGACCAAACCAGATGAAAGTGCGCATTCAGCGTCTACTCTGCCAATAATGCAAGCGTAGAAGAAGAAATGTGCTGTTTACCTGTGCAAAGAAAGAAACAACGAAAGAAAAATGTCTGAGGACTTCAGTGTTGAGGAAGAGCATGAGTTCTTTGCCGAGCTGAATGCGCTGGTTTGGTCTGCCGGCTTCCGTAGCGTCGTGATCGCGCATGTGCGCGCTTTCAGGAAATCCTATACACTACTGTTTATGCTCTAAAAACATTCTAAATGACTTCGTTTCGAGTAAATTCTGGATGCTACCCACTCAGGACACTTGGAATACATTGGACGAGCAGTATGGAGGAATATTGACACGTTTTTTGTGGACTTTTATGGACCTTTCTGCCTCGGGCGCCACAGACCTCCATTATTTGAATGTCAGCAGACAGCAAGAAGCCTCCCAGATCTCCAGATGCATTTGAGATATCAAAAAAGTACTCCAGAGTGTTGTTCAGCATGGGGGTGAGTAGAAAATGAAGGCTAATCATGTTTTGGGTGTAGTATTCCTTTAAGGTCCACTGGGTCGCCGGTGACCCGGTGGGTTTTAAAAGGTTAATATGATATCTGCCCGCTGTCTGTTACCGAAGATCTCTGATTTTTGTGGCTAAACATTTTGTACAGCTGTCTTTACAGGGAATTTTAAACCCTGCTTTTAACAGAGTGTTTGTGAGGTCAGACAATGGTGCTGGGGGAGAAAGCGTTGAATCCTATCTGCTCTCTAATTCATCTTAAAGCTGTTTAATGTGGTTGAGGCCTGGAGCAGAAATATAAATTTCCCCAGGCTGGTCCCACAAAGTTGGAAGAGTAAACATATCTTGGTATTAGAAGCGTTACGAGATCAGAGAGTTGTATTTACCTGCAAACTAACAAACCTAGACTGAATTGTTGTTGTTTCCAATCACTTATACTTTGTTTTAACACCACTAATAGGAAATTGCGGAATATAGTAGCAAGAAATTTAAATGACTAGATTGACTAATACAAGTTTTTGAGGACGAATGCCTTTACTGATTATTTTGACATCCGCTTAAAAGTTAAGTCATGCTGGATGCATGTACAATCCGCACAGAAAATGAGCGACTTATCACAGCGTCCTCAGCTTTTACACAGTGTGCATCTTTTTTCCCAATTCTGACCGGCTCCAGGGGGGGGGGGGAGTTCAGCCAAACAGCTAGCTGACAACACCAAATTACATAAGAAAGTAGAAACGCAGCCATTTACAGCTGCAAACTACGACAGTCATTTCATTTCAAGAGTTTCTCCACAATCTGTTGATAATGGTGGTTTTTATACCCTAACTCACTAAGATGTCTACATTTCCAAACCCTTGCTGGTGTGAGGTGTTTTTCACTTGGCATGTTTTTCCACTTGGAGCTGTTCATGTAGTTACAAATCACGGTACAGAAAGTCTGTTTGCACGGACGCCGTTAGACACTGCAAGTGTCATGAATTCAAGGCATGGCTGCTAAATATGTTAATGAATTGGACAATTCATGCATATCGGCCAAAAACATTTTCCAGTGAACATATTGGTCTCCCTGTATTATTTACAAAATATTAGTGAAAGCAGTTTACATGCTGCCAACCTGCTGGCTGAATTAACCTGCGGTCATTTAAGGGGTTATAATACTTCAATTCAAATATACTGTTTGGGGAGGGAAATACCTTTGGGCACTACAGAGTATCTCCTGTTTTATGTGCAGTGACAGCTGAAAAAAAATCCCCTGCCGCCCTGAACAGGATGCAGCTGAATTGAAAATGTTTTTGTTTTATTAAACTGTTAACTGACCGTAACACCTGCAGTTCTGCAGGCATGTTTGAGCTGATAAAGGTCCATGCATTGTGTTTCAAAACTCTGATTGAGTTCCCATGTTTTTCTTCAGAGCTCCATTCATTCAGGCTGTTTTACAAACACCCCTCTGCTCCATAATCTCAACATTATTTCTGTTTTTAGGTAAGGTTGGAGCTTTTTAGGTTTTGCAAACAAGTGTTCAGATGGTATTCTTTGATATTCTTATTTGTAAACTTTATGGATTAGTGCATCTCTTCACTTCTGCTTCTTCGAATCGATCAATGATTCAAACATCCCTCACATCAGCAAAAGTAAGCTCAGTCTGGATGGAGATACCCATGGATTCTCGGACTAAGAGGAAATTAATCATCTGGACAAACATGATTTACCGGTAATATCATATACCAATGTAACACAATCATTGATATCTATATCCACTAACAGAAATTCAAGAACAAAAAAAAATTTTAATCAATCTAATCAAATTGTTTATTATTTCATCAATATATCAATATAGATTGATGCATTCTTACACCCCTAGTTAAAACAGTTAAATGGATTTGCAATATATTCACAGTTTCTAAATCACTGCTGTTTAACACTAACTTTGTCCCTCTCGTCAATTAGGTGGGAGTAACATGCTTAAACTGGGTTTGGGGCCTAACAGAGGGGGAGTGATGCAGATCCATGCATGCGAGCTAGAAGTAAGCAATTCTCCTCCCCATATTAATTTCCCGCAACAATGGACTGTGGACAATAGAGCATTCAAGGCCATGAAAACAAGGAGGCCCCGGAGCCAAATATGCTTGTAGTTAGTGCAAAGGAAAACTGTAAAATAAAATCAAGGCCTTAAAGTTGCAGGATGGTAGCCCTCCAGGACTGGAGTTGGACACCCCTGTCTTTTAGAAAACAGTACATTAAATCTGGCCCGAGGAACAAACTGTGTTTAAAGTAGTCTTGAAGTCATGCATCTGCTTTCTAAATGAAATTTAAACAATTATTTCTGCTAGCAGAGGGGCCATAATGATCTAGCTGGAGTGGTATTCTAGTATTTTAAACATTTAGAGTAACAGGGCTGGCATGAGGACACCTCTACTGCAGCTCGGTTTTCTTTTCATCACGATTCATATGTTTAACAGACTGGAGACAGAACAGGAGATTGATTCTTACAGCTGGCAGGTGTTTGACTGATGGAAACACAGGATAATAATTCAAATAAATCCCTTCTGACTGCATGTGGACTTTGAGGATTTGTTCGCTGGTTGTGTAAGAGTGAAGGAATACAGACTCATGAGTTTTTGTTTAATCTCAGCACTCACATCAGTCCCAGGCTTCGTTTGATGATGCTAAATCAAGCACTTGTGGAAAAAGGTGACAGTGAGTCTGCTGACTGGAGGTCTGTGAGGTGACAAAGTTACATCCAACAGCTGAGCTTCTCCTTTTGAAAGTTTCATACTTCTCCAGGCTCAATTTCCCAGATTGCTTTGTGTCTTTAAGTGGTTTTTTGAGGATCTGATATAAACTTGATTTAGGATTCAAAGAATAAACTAATGAATGAAGGAAGTAAAAATACCTGGTTGGTTTTAATAAAGGGACAAATGGTTGCTTGGATCTTTTAGATAACTTTGGGAGATTAACCACAATTTTTTCCATACCTATTCTTGAAAAAAAAAAAAACTGCACCTAATATCATTATCTTGGCAGTGATATCCTGGCTTAATTACACACTTCTTTCATCTGTCCAATTCTGCCAAGTTTCTCATAACTGCTCATCTGATCCACCTGCTCCCGCCTCTATTTAAGTTGCTTGCATCCAGTCTTCAGAGCCAGATTATTCTTGTTCTTTCGTGCTAGTGGTGAGATTGTTTTTAAGTGTTCCTTTGTGTTTCTGATGTCTTGATCCTGACCTGTTCTGCCTCTCAACCACTGAGCCTGTCTGTTCCGTCTGAACGGTTTGCCTGACTCTGCTTTGGACTCCTGCTTGTTCTGTGTTCTGTGGGGCTGCAACATCGGGGAAACTCTGAGCATCTTGTTGTTAGCTCACCGGCTAGATCCTACCTCATTCTCAGGACACGGGCTGAACTGTTAAACAAGGTTAGTGACGCGTTCATAATTATCCAAAGTAAGATTATTGTGGTCACCAACCTGTGTTTCCTTTTACAGATTTTCCCGATTGCACCCTACACCAATCCTTCGCTTTTTAAACAAACACTTTTTGAGTTAACCCAATGTCTTGCCTGAATACTGAGTCCTTATGTTCTGAACCATAAAACCTAAACTACAATTAGTGTAAGCTAATTATTTCATTACCACACTAACACTCTCTATGCCATATTATATTATATTATATTTCAGAAGTTTTATTTAATAGGGGACATCAGAATTATTACAGAAGGTGGAAAAGTAGGAAGAAGATGCATTGTGGGGAAAGTCTGCATAAAATGTAAGACAATCATTACTCAGACTGGCGTCGGATCTTAGCTTAAAAAAGAAAAATCTAATTGACCAAAGCTGGATGGTTTGAAGTCAGTTCTGATTAATCCATATTAACCAAACGGTTTTCCTCCGTTTCACCATTATGATGTCCTTGTTGTACCCCTGCTAGAAAACATTACATCTAAACAGTCTTTTGAAATTGTGATATATATTTATATATAGAGAGAAGGAGAGAGAGATTGTGACTTTATTCATGCAGTTCTAGCAAATAGTGCAGCTCTAAACATGTTTGCACAAGACTGTTGTTAAGTTTGTCACTGTTTACTAGGACAAACCTCGCTCACAATGTCATTTAAATGCCCTGCAACATGGTGATTGCTTAGGACCTGCTGATGAGCTAAAATTGATCAATCATATCATAATTAATGTAATTTTTTTTAGTTTATTTCCAATTTAAACTAGGAGATTATAGTGAATAAACACCAGAATAATAAGTGTTAGCAAGATTAGATGGTTTACCAAGGAGCATATGCGAAAAGTTTGTCCCAGAAACACTGATAACGTATAGAGGTTAGCCATTCAATAATACAGAGTTGGCTTAGCACCATAACCGGCATTTAAAAATAAAACTCAATTCAGTGAACTGAAATTAATTAGCAAAATCAGGAGAGTTATAATAACTTTTGTGAGTTTGATGACCTGATGTTTAAAAAGCCCTTAAATCACACATCCTTAGAGCTAATTTAAAGGCAGTATTTCTCCTAAGACAGATGTTGGAAAACTGCTCTCCACAGCCTCCTTCTTTGTTGAGGTAACTTATGATGGATTTGGATTCCTCCAGCATGTCATCATTGCATGGTTCTCCTTGATTACAGGTCTAAAAATAAAATGTTATGATCCATGAATTAGTCATTAGCACAAATGGGAACAGAGGGAAGATAAAACATCTTTCCAAAAATGAAAGTCTAATGTACTATTAGGATAATTAAAGGAAATTAAAGGTCAGGTAAACGATAATATATTCCTCGCCCAAGAAAAAGACTTTTTAAAAGTAACACAGAAAACATGCACTCCTGTGGTAGATTGATGCTATTTTAATACCCTCTGAGACAAAAACACACGTGTGTCTTTAATCTGACAGGACAAAGCAGTTTAAGAATATCTTGCATGTAAGGTTCAGCAGGAAAAGTGCCACTACATTTTATCATTCTAGTTTATTATCCAGCAAGATGTCCTTTAATGTCCCTCCTTTCCTCCAGAACTCCCAGTCTATTCCCATGGATCAGAAAGAGCGATTTAAGAACCTATCTGTCTAACTTTACACAAGATTGTCTTCAGATGCATCCAGCAAGTCTGAGCAAGTGTGGTTCTTCTTCACACATGTATGGCTGTTTGCAGGAAAGGCAAAAGCGAAAAGCAGAATTGTGCAGTTTGTACTAGACAGATGGAAATCAAGGAGACAGATAACTTCATGTTTATGAGTGTGAGTTTTGTGTAGGTGTGTGTATATATGTATGTGACTCATGGTGGATTTACCTGAGTAATAATAGCTTATCTGCAGCATATGAGGAAAGACGCTCATAAGTAAGAAAATATGCCCTGCAGTTTATATGCAGAACACTTTAAACATGTTATTATCAAATCAATGAAAAGGTGCACTAATCTAGTCTTTTTTCACACAAACGTCTCATGCATTAAAACAAGCTCCATCCTGCCTTTACAATAACAGACTTGATTCAGGGTACAAACAGAAACTGGGTTTTTATCCTCCACTCATGTGTTAATTTACTGTACAAAACAACATACTTCCAAATGTTTGCATGTTTCTCACCATGAGGCTGCATCCTTTAAAGGACCAGGCCTACATAGACTGGGTCTGTAGTGATCCATTCTGAAATCAGCAATCTAGACTTCCATAACTGTTCCCACCCTAACATCAGTCAGCTAAGAGGCCGTTAAAAAAAAAATTCAAACCATTACCATTGTCACATGGATGAACTAAATATGAACTAAATATGAGTGACTTTTTTTGTTTCTCCAGCTCTCCCTTTGCAAATAGTAACCCATTCATCTGCAACTCCTACTCCATTCTGGCCAGGGGCGGAGCTAGAAGGAGGGCCAGGGAAAGCCATGGCAACCGTTGGCAACTAACTACCCACCACTACCAGGTAATTGGATGTTCCCATTGGAACATACGTCATCACCTCCAGGACAAGCAGTTCCCCTCCAAAACAGAGTGGGCAGCAGTGATACTTTGAGCTGGAAAGTCTTAATTAAAGGTATTGTGGAGGATTTTTGCTAATTAAAAAAAAAAATGTAGGAAAAGCACATCCACAACCCTGTACTCGCTCCCGAGAGGGAACACATATTAAACACATGCAAGGGCATGCGCAAGCCTATTTCTCCTCATGCACTTTATGTCTAAAAGTTCATGTTTGCATCGCTCATACAAGCTCACTTTCCAAAGGAAGATTTGCAGTTTCTCCACTATGTCAGACTCACCATTGATAAGTTAAAATAGGTCCAAGCACATAGGACGGCCTTACATAAACATACTGTATCACCAGAATGATTGACAAGTAGGAGGATCACTTATTTTGATGATCCACCTGGAAAAAGAACATCCTCCACTACACCTTTAATTTAGTTTTTCAATTGATATTATATCAACTATAAGTTGACAATGAAATTACAGTAATGAATTATTTATTCACATGAATATACTAACATAAAACAAAAACAGAACTCATGCTCTTTTCAGAACTAGGGTTTTGGCTCCTATAGGTTTTTGGTCACCCCTCAGTGCACATTGGTCCCTGCCTGGCCAAACCTAGGATCATTTTCTGATTACGCCATTGATCATGGTATCACTCATGATGACGGTTAAGGGTTAAAGAAACTCCTCATGTTGAGGTAAAGAAGCCCCCCCCCACACACACACAGTGAAATATCCCTTCATCAGCACGGTAACATGTGAGAACAAATTCCAGATCTCATTTGAATACAAAGTTTGCAGCTTATATGTGGTTAAAAAAGAGATAAAACCTAAAATCCAGATTAATTTTGACCACAGACATTTATCATAGAGTCATATCTTGGGGGTTTCTAACATGCAAAAACTCTGTAGGTTACAACAGTAAAAATAACAAAGCTTTATAAGTGGATTTTAAAGAGATTTTCAAATAGATACTACCTGTCAGTGTAATTAGACTCTAATTGTAAAGTCTGATTCTTTATTTATGTTATGTGTCAGGGAGGAGAGCATGTCCTGTCTGGACTTCTTTCTTATGCATATTTATTTTTTTTTCAACAAAATCAAAATTCCCAAAACAATGTGGGGGGAAAATTGTTTATAGAAGCATCTTTGCCCTGTTTTTTTCTGCTTTATGACCTTATAATTCTCTCACCATCAATGTGGAGGAATTTCAGCGCACTCATCCTGAAACATGTTTGAGCGCATCGATATTTGGGGTATTATAAACTGTCCTGTTAAGGTCTCTACACAGCACTTTATTCAAGCTGAAGTCTGCACTTTGACTGGGTTATTGTAAAATCTTCATATTTTTTGCCTCTTACTTTAAATCCCTATTATGGATTATGAGGCAATTGGGGAACAAAGTTTAGCTGTCTAACAGAATGCCAATGCCATGTTTCTCATCCCAAACAGTTCATGGTTTACTTCAAAACAAGCCCATATCATCATATGTTCAACTCTGTACCTGAAAGCAGGTGTGAAGTTTCAGACAAAAACTAGAATATTTTTACCAAATTAAATGCACAAAAAATCTTTTAAAAAAAATCTGCAAAAAATCCATCCAACAGTTTAAGTTATTGAGAAGCAGCAGACACCATTTTGTTTAGAAGCAAAAACACTTTAAACAGCTTCAAAACGCTTCAGTCTGTTTCTAACTTTTCTCTCAAAAACTTCAACTTTTACACCTGCAAATCTAAAGATCACAGAATGTCAGCTCAAGTTATTGATCAATTATCAGTTAGCTTTAGGCATTCCTTTGTGCAACAAGAGCAGAACGGGTTGAATCCTGAGAAAACCTGATTCTTACTTGTAAGGATCATTTGGGTCATTGGCGTTGCAGGCCTCAGCGTGTCCATTACACACACATCTTCCTCCGATGCTGATGTCTTTGATACTGTAGTAGTACTGCAAGAAATCAAGAGCAGACAGACTTTAATCACCTTTTATGAACAATGGGTTAGAGCTAAAGTTCATGCAAAAAAAGCTGAATAATCAATCTGGAGGAAGAAGCAATTGAAGACCCTGCCCCCCAATCTATAACTCTCAACTACATCTCTGACTGGCTGAACATCAGCTTGCAGCGAGGCCTCACCCTCCGGGTGACGGTGGGGTCACGCAGTGCCTTGCCCATCAGGTGTCCCAGAAGGGTGTTGGTCCTTAGGAAGCGGAGCCTGATGTTGGTGGCCTTGGTGAAGTCCCTAAGCACTGGTGAATAGGAGAAGTTCATGGCCCCGGGACGGCCGTTCACCAGGGACACCACAATCTGACATGGGGCGGATCACAGAGCAGAACAGATCATCAGATAAAAAACATGGCAACAAAAAAAATACCTGAACACCAACCTGAAGTAACAAATCAAGATAAATACAGAAAATCCTTAGAATGAACGATATTGGTTCATTGCTTTAAGCCATGAGTTTGATAAAAGTGCTCACTGACTGTCATAGATTAGGTTGTCGGATCTGCAATAAATATACAAAGAAACTGTTATTTTATTAGTCTGAACTTTAAAAAAATTGGACCTGGAAGACATATTCTCACTTCTGCCATAAGGAAAATACAACATTTAAACAGAGAGACAGAATCTGAAATAATGCATTAATAATAACGCAATAATGCAATCACCTCTCCGTTTTCCAGCGGGACTATACGAGAGTACTCTGTGGTGCAGATAACATCATCGTCATGGTTGATTCGCTCTATGGTCCTCTGTCCAAAGCGTTCAATACAGTCCCTTTTGGAGGCTGCAAAAAAACACAGATGCAAGGAAAGAAATATGTTAGAATATGTTATCAAGCATTCATTGATTCCTTCCAAGGGTTCAGCCTGAATGCAGAAGGCAGAGGTGTAATTATCTTAATGTCATGATTTCAGCTTGTTAAATCTGAAAACAGCAACAGGTCAGAGATTTACAGCTTGTCTCTCCTCTGTATATTAACTTGTACAGAACATGAACCCTGAATAAATGTTTGATATTAGCGGTCAACATTAGGCTTTATCCTGTGCGGAAGAAGGCACGGAGCAATGAGCAGCTAAGAACAACACTTTTTAAGTCCAGGTACAGACTCAAGAATGGATTTAGGTCTGGACTTAGGCCATTCCACCACTGCATCACAGCTCTGGCTGAGTGTTTAGGGCTTTAGTTGTTTTGTTGAAAGTTGAACCTGTGTTCAACACTCAGTTTTTCTGTCAGTGAGCCGCAGTTCAGCTGTGGCTAAAATGTAGCTTGCCACCATCAGTGTGTGAGTGTGTGTGTGAATGGGTGAATGACTGAATGTAGTGTAAAGCGTTTTGGTCATGTCACCTGACTTGAAAAAGCGCTATATATATATATATATACGTAGAGTATAAAAAATCTTCTAGAACAAAACTCTCCTCATAAGTAGCCATGTTTACATCCAATTTAGGTGTGAATTTTATGCAAACTTTTAAAAATTTGAAGAAAAAAAAAAAATTTTCATTTCTGCTGTTTTTTTCCCATTGGGTATAAAATAAAATTAACCAAGCAAAGTAAAGCATAATATCATCATATTTCATCGTCTATAATACATTGTCACGCATGGCTGTAATAAAGAAGTATAACCAAAGCATAGACCACAGATCAGTAATGGAGGAAAGTCTTAATGAATGTGTTTCTACTGGGCAACTTGTTCTTATGCTGACATCTCAGTTTACAATGTTTTTTCCAGCCGTGTTTACGTACATATTAGCAACATCCATGAAGGAAACAGCTGTTTGGTCAACTGAAGTAAATGTTCCAACCATTAAAGATTATTCGAAAACACTATTTCCATCTTCCTTTTTGTGAATGAAACCCATTTTTTAAAAGCCAAAACCACGTCAAGCGAGAGTTAAAACTTTTTTTTGCAAACTTCTTTTCTGATGTAACAATTAAAAAAATGTGCATAAAAAAGAGATGGAAATGCACCTAGATTTAGTTTTTAAAGAGATCAAAGGGTTTGGTTTTGTTTTTACCTGACCAGAGCATCTTCTTCCAAATATTTGCTGTACCTCCATCACGGCTAGTGGAAATATTTTAGCTGTCTTTTACCATAAACTCACTCTTTGACATTTCTATAAAGGACCAAGTTTATGGAGTGCACAAATGGTGTTTAGCTTCTCCCTCCTAAGCTGTAAATTGCTGCAGCTCCTCTGGATTTACCTTTAAAACGTCTCAGCTATCTCTGATTGATTCCCTTTTTGTTGTCAATTTAGATGGATGATCATATCTCAATAGGTTAGGTAATCGATTCCTTCTAAATGATAACATTTCTCCACAAACCTCTACTTGAACTGTCCACTGGGTCCCTTTCTGACAATGGAGCTCCTCTGTGTGTGCAGTAAACCACAGAGAAACCATCCTTTACCATAGCTGCAAAGCTGTCATGTCCGGTTTGGACATAACAGCTGACATTAACGTTTAATTACTAATGTTTCAGGTTATATTTGGATGCAGATGCTGTAACAAATGGCACACACACCCAAAGCCTCCACTTTCTATGATCAGGTAAACCAAGCTGTGACCTGTTGTCAGACATTCCAGGAATTCCCCTGCAGCCCACCTCCACCAGCAGCTGCCTCCCTCAATCAGGTAACATGTGCCCCCCTCACCTTCCCTCCACCCCCAACACCCCTAACCCCAGGCATCCTGTTTAGTCTAAAATATCAGAGAAGGATTTAAAGGCCTTTCCCCAAGCACAGTTAGTAGATTAGTTGTTGATTCTCATAGAATCTGATTTGGTTTTGGAGTCAAACATACTCACAGGCAAAGAACTGCCAGGGCTGGTAGGTCAGACCGTAGTCTGTGGATCTCTCCAGAACCCAGAGGTCCGGACGGGGGGAGTTGGCAAATTTGATCAACACATAGGCCACATGGAAGACCTGTAGAGGAAAAAAGAAAACAATCCACATTAGAGCTGAGAAAATTTATCAGATTAATCATGATAAAACGATTATTGAAATAATCGTTGACTATTTTAATTATCAATTAATCGTTAAGTGGAGTATTGAGACTGTAGAATATGCTTTTAGCTGACAGAGGAACCCATTTAGAGCAGTAATTATACCAAGATTGCAAAAAAATATATAAACTTTTTGCATTTAAGATCAATAATCTTTTTCATGTGTTAACATGCTCTATCAGGAACTCATTTCAAGAACTTTAATTTCATAAAAAGTCTTCTTTCATAAATCTTTGTCTATCTGATTATTAATCGAAAAAATAATCAACAGATGAAACCATTTGCAAAATAATCGATAGTTGCAGCCCTAATCTACATTAAACATTCAGAGAAAATGTTGCCTATCATATGCCGTAAAAGAATGTTTGCACCTTTATACGCGAAAAAATATCAGCATGAATCTTGTATTTTCTTGTCAATCATTTCATATTATGGAACTATGTAGTGTTCTTAGTATGCCACTCTGGGTCTCTGAGCAAAGACCTTTAAACCCCACACTGCTCCCCAGGTGCTGCACAATGGCAGCCCACTGCTCCAATAGGGGATGTGTTAAATGTACAGGTTATTTCTCCAATGTGAGATCAATAAAGTTCAGTTATTATTATCTATATTGGGGTATTACATGCCTAATGCTAACATGTCTTAAATGATCAAACTCATTGTAACATTACACAAAGTGTTGTCATCCCACAGTATCTTTAACACCCCAAATTTAAAAGCTGCAGAACCAAAGATATTTAAATGAAAATGATTGTTGAATATTTTCCTTCCGGATTTATAGGCATGAAAGTAGAATTTATTGGTCCATTGATTGCACCAAGTTTTCATAATCCTGACTCAGCAAAGCAGCCCCACATCATCACGCTATCTCCACCGTATTGGATTGCAGATGTGCAACCGCTTTACACCTTCCAAAAAGGTCTAATTTTGTCTCATCAATCCACAGGTTTTTTCCAAAAGTCTTTTGGATCAGAGAGAAGTATTACTTGGTATCTGTAAGGCAGGACTTTGCGTTCCTCTGGGACAGCAGTGGTTCAACCCCGGAGTTTTAACTGAAAGGCAATTTTGCCTGATTTCTTTCTGCTAAATCATGACATCAGACTTTAACTAAGGCAGCTAAATTTGCTGAGCTTTAGATGTTTATCTGGAATCTTCCGGATGAGCAGTTGATGCTCTCTTGTAGTAGTTTTGGTAGAATGGCCACTCCTTAAATGTTCATCACTGTTCCAGGTTTTCCCCATTAGTGGATGTGGACAATAATTTGTGACCTTTTCTAGAATCATATGAAATAATTTTGGACTCCTCTACAACATAATCAGGAAACTGTTTGTTTAGAGAACCATTGGCCTAATTTGCATTCGGATGGGTTCTATTTGACTGCTTTCTTGATTCTAGAGATCTGATAATTATCAGAGAAAGTGAAGCAAACATTCATTATTGAACAAGGCTAGTGGTGGTTGCCTTTTTTTAACAGGCACTGGTTGTTTTGGATATGTTTTATTTCTTTAATAAATGAAATACTTACTTACTTATGTTATCTTTGTCAAACATTAGGAATTTAAAATGATGTAAAACCTATAAGCCTGACCATAAATGCAAAATTAAAAGGACTCTGTAAAAAGGCAAATGCTTTTTAGAAGAAAAATTTGTTTGATCTTTCTGAACATCAAATATAATCTCTGTTGGAAGCTGGAGAAGTACCACTTTTCTCCAGCAGAGTCCGCCGTGGATCCTCCTGAGCAGAGCCTCCTGCACAGCTGCTGCTCATTACCATCATCAGAGGATCCACTACTTAAGCTGTCTTCAGACCTTGCCTCAACGCCGCAGTGTTGATCCAGTTGGAAACCAGTTTGTCTCCTGTGAAGCTCTGGAAGAGCTTAACCTGCTAAGCCTACCCTCTGAGCCAAACCTGAAGCCTGCCTTTGAGCTTTCATACAGCCTAGGATCAAGAGCTGGAAACCTCAAGTTTCACTCGGTTCAATCCTAAGAAGTAAGACGCTGAAGCAGCTTGCGGACTCTGCGAACCAAACTCTCTCCAGTTCCAACAACCTTCCTCTCCAAGCTTTAATCAAGAACCCTCAAGGTACAAGTCAGAAACAATCTAAAGACAAATCTCTAAGTGCCCTGCTAACTGAACTATCTTCCTGTGCAGACTCCGGTGAACCCGTGTTCCAGGACCAGAACCAGAACCAGTGTCATTGTGCTTGCAAAATAAACTCTGTTAAACTTTTACTACTGTTTCCGTCTAGTGGTGTTCTGCATACTTGGGTCGCTTTAGAGAACCCATCATGACAGAACACTGCGGCCAAACACAAGGCCCAGCAGATCACCTCCGCCGTCGCTTGGAGGAGCAGGAAGTCCAAATCCAAGGACAAACCCAGACACTCCGTGAGTTATATCGCCTTGTAGACACTCACAATCATATGCTTCAGAGCTACGCTAATTATATGAGCAATGCTAATGCTCTATGTTTTCACATACTTTCTCTGTTTATGACTAACAGACTAATTATCGGATAATAAACACGCAAGAATTCATAAACCAGAGTGATTTTGAGGCCTTCTGGTTAATTCTAAGAGATCCTATAAGGGTCCCAAAACTGAGAGGGACATTTAGAGCCCATTTCTACTGCAGGAATCTTTTACTCACCTTGAACATTAAATGTGAGGAAAATCCTAATTTAATAGTAACATTTTATGGCTTTAAATTATTTATTCATAGAAGTAATTGACATTTATGTACTATTTTTGCACGTCACGTATCACTTTACTTGGATTTATCAATTTACTTGGATTTAGTTTTACATATGCATGTATATGTATATATATATATATATATATATATATATATATATATATATATATATATATATATATATATACACGTATACATATATATATAAACAGAAGAGCTATATGTGTATATATTTTTATCTTTTTATTTTTATCTTTATTATCTTGTGTGGTTGGTTGTGTGTATATATATATATATATATAAAACTGTAACTGGAGCGTGTAACAAAAATGATTTCCCTCTGGGATTATTAAAGTACCGCATTTCTGAAGAGGGTCTGCTTTTTATGATAATATGGGAAATTTTTTGAACTGTAAACTACAATCTATAGACAAGTAGTCTATTTATTTTGATTAGTGTTGATGATACAAGTAAACTCCTGAGGATCTATTACTGGATTAAAAGTGCAAATCTATTATCATTCTCAGCAATCTATAGTCCCAGGTGTTAACTAGGTTCTATGACCTTCAATCTCAATGTGGTGATTACACACAACCCCAGCTGTGTGTGGGAAGCTTTCATGGTTTATTTTATAATTTTTTTTTTTTTTTTTTTTTTATAGGGATCATGCTCTGGCAACATTGTCTTCAGCCTCACTATTGTTTCTGGATAGAGTAAAATCAGGCCTTAAAGTTGGCCTTGGAGGTTAGTGAGAGGCTATGCTTGGTGCTACTCTGTGACAAAATCCTCCCTAACAAACAGAAGGGTGAAAAGCAGAGAGGAGTGAAGCACACGACTCCTGCTCAGTATGACAAACAATCGTTTCTCCTGACAATCATTTGGAAGCGACTGATTGGGAAGTCCTAAAGATTGGTCGATTTTTGTTGAAGTTGAGAGCTCTGACTTACTGCCCTGATGTGCTGATAGTTTTTTTTTTTTATTGTGTTAAGAAGAATACGCTGCAGACACACATATGTGTCTTAGAGGGATGAAGTTCTGAAGCCACATCAACAGTCTCTATGAAATGGGAGACTTTTCAAAAAGAATACGGAAAAGTCTTTCAACCATTAACCGAGGGCAAGGGGAACATTGCAACGTTAGAACCATTTAGTTCAGAATAGATCTAGGCATTTCATTTAATATGCAATATATCACAATTTAACAAAACCCAATTTTCAAATCGCAGAGGCTCTGAATTTTGGTCACGTTACATTTGACAGGAGAAAGACGCAAAATGCCTCATTTCAGCCCTTTAGATTGCAGTTATACCCTTGTAGTGGGTTTGCCGTCATACAAAAAGGTAAAATGGGGAAAGTAGCAGTTTCAATGCAGATCCATGCATGCAAGTAGAAGTACGCACTTTTTTACACAAAGGTTACAGTACTGTCCTGCAAGAATAAAATGCAAGATTTCAAGATCAGGAAAAGACGGGAACCTTAAAATAAAGCCCCTACAAGCTTGTAATTAGTGCAAAGGAAGACCAAAATAAAATTACAATCACAATATTTGTTCAAAATAATCTCATTTTTGATTTTTGGAAAAATTATTCTTCCCTATTTCCCAGAATCACATCGCAAATAGATCATAATCCACCAGTTAACTTTAGCTTCAGCTTGTTTAAAAAAGTCCTTCAATATTATGAAACCATCAGCTGGAAGGACAAATACTTCTTTTCTAAATTGTCTTATTCTCCGTCTGTGGAAGAATTTGCAGAAAAACATAATAAACTGGAGATGTTCAAATCTGAAAGGGGAATAGTGTCCCATTTTCCTATCACCTACATCTGTCTGGCTGCACTTCACTAGAAACCTTCCAGATGAAGCAAACAGCCACTCACTCAAACATTGACACCTAACAGCATTGGACACCAGACATGGATTGGTTAACGTTCCAAGTGAGAGCCTACAGTAGGCATGCACTCGGCCATCAGAAAAATAATCTGACGCAGTAAAAAAGAAGCACAGCACTGGATTATCTGGTGCTTGTAACTTGATTCTCATTGTCTGTGTCTGTCTCCGAGTCTCAGTGGAAGCCATTCCGTTCTCTTACATAAACACATACAGGCATCCGTACAAAATAACACACAAATGTTACAAAAGGGGTATTCCTGACTCCTCTATGCCCACAAAACTTTAGGGATTAGTGGCAGCCTCCCAGGTCAACCTCCCCAAATTGCTTGTAGAGTGA